TCGGATAAGTTAAACGGTATGGTCGTCTCCACGATAGATACACGTGACAGAAGAATAAGACCACGTACAGCAAGAGGACAACGAACGCGCCATGCCATTTAGTGGAGAACAAATGACATTATAAATAATAATAAGCGGTAATTATAAACTTAAGTAAACTTCACATCAGCGTTAATCAGTAAGAGAATTTCACAAAGGCAAAGAAATGTAAAATAATTTTATATCGACGATAATCAGTAATGATATTTCACATTGGCGATAAAACAATGTAAGTAAGTAAACCTTAAAAAGAATAAATCAGGAAGACAACTTAACATTGCTTATACCAATAAATCTAGAACTTTACATCGGCGATTACAAGTAAAACAACTTCACATCGCCGAGTATCAGTAAGAAAATGTCACATGATCAGCGATTATCAGTTAGACAACTTCACATCGCCGAGTATCAGTCCGAGAACTCCACATCAGTGTTAATCAGTATGAGGACATCACATTGATTAAAATCAGAAGGAAATCTTCACAACGGCGATTTTCATTTTAAGAATTTTACATCGGCGATTATCTGAAGAGAACTTCTCATCGGTGTGTTCCAGTTTAAGAACTTCACATCGGTGACGACAACTTCTCCTCGAAGATTATAAATCAATTCCACATGCTAGATAATTAGATGGAAAACTTCACATCTGAGATAATTAGTAAGACAATAGTTACTTCACATAGTTGAATATCAGTAAGTGAGAACTTAACATTAGTGCTAATCAGTGAGATAACTTCTTAAAGCTGTGTAACAGTTAAAGAATTTTACTTCGGCGATTAAATCAGTGAGAGAATACAAATTGGTGATCATCAGCAAGTGACCTTCACAGCTGCAATTATCAGTTACACAACTTCACATCGGCTTTTACCAGTAAGAGAAAATCTTTCAGTAAGAGACATTTACATCGGTGATATTTCAAATCGATGATAATCAGTTTGAAAAAGAAAGCTTTACATCGGCGGTTATCAGTAGGAGAACTTCACATCGGAGATTATCCATGAGAGAACTTCACATCAGTGGTTATCCGTAAGAGTTCTTCACGCCAGCGATAATAAATTAAAGAACTTCACATAGGTGTTAATCCATAAGAGAACTAAAACCCGATGATAATCAGTTATAGAACTTCACATAGGTGTCAGTAATCATATCGGTATGTATCCATAAGAGCACTTTACATTGGTGTTCATCCGTAAAGGTGACACTTTACGCCGGCGATAATCAATAAGGGAACTTCACATAGGCGTTTATCAGTAGGATAACTTTACATCGGTGATAATCTATAAGAGAACTTCACATAGGAGGTTATCCTTAAGAGAATTTCACGTTTGCGGTAATCTATAAGAGAACTTCACATCGGCGATAATCTATAAGAGAACTTCACATCGGTGATTATAAATATGAGAACGCCACATCAGCGACAGGCGATCGACGATATTGCCGTTTCTGTTATTGTTGATTTCAGTGATTTTGACTCAGTTGGCATGTCGAGAATTGATGGATCATTAAACATTTAACATTTCATGTATCTCTTACAAGTTTGATACATTAAGGTCAAGCAATATATCTTGGTATTTAATTGTATGCAGAAATTATAAGAAAAAAGAACTTTGTGTTTAAAATATAGGTTAAGTTTATTTTGTTTAGCAATAAAATCGTTTATAGATATCCATTGCATTGTATAATATATATGTTCATCAATATTAAAAGGGATGTAAACATTTTCGAAAGTTTGATTTTTACAGTAGCAAGTTGAACAGAAATGAATTATGTGAATTCCATATTGTACGTACATAGTATACACATCCATGAAAGTTTTGGGGCTTTTTGTCTTGTACTTACTTTTCGTACTTTGACAACACCCAATCCTTAAACAAAAAAAATCGGTACCATGACATGACGCCTTTTTTTTACGCTCAGAATAAAACATTAAACGTTTATATATAAAACTATGTATGCTGCAGCTGCCAGTGTCCTTAATGTGATTGTCATAATGGAGTGTAGGAGAGAAGTCATACGTCCATGGTTATCATATGTCTGAAGTTCTCAGTGTCTTTAATCAATGGTTTGGTCAAAATTGACTGTAGGACAGAAGGATATGAAGAAACCTAAAGGTCCATGGATGTCATATGTCTGAAGTTCTCAGTATTCTACATCAATGGTTTGGTCACAATGTAGCGTATGGAAAAAATCATGGTGAAAAAAATACACTATGACCAAATTCCACAAGATTATAGTCCAACAATACGGATGTGCAAAATGATCTTGGCCTGCGCTAGTCTAGGTCTCTTGGCGCCAGCATTATAAGTTCTAAATAAGTTTGCTGATGAGCAATTTCATATAAAAAAATAACGGTCTGAAAAAATAGTGCCTTCAGATATTTCTATAAAAATTTGATACCATCGAAGTAGGTTGGGAAACTAAACTAAATGAAATATTTTTCAAAATTAAAAAGAAAAAGTTGTAGCAATTATTTTATGGTCAATTCTTAAAAAAGTTGTGTTATATAATATTTTTGTTACATTATATTTTTAATTCAAATGAAAACTATATGAAAACAGAATATAGATACGGGGCAAAATGTCATGCTGCTAATATACATGTATTTTAAGTAGGGGTTTTAACCGTTTAACAATGCTTTGTGTCTGAAACTTTAAACTAAATTTTGTGAAATAAGGGCCATAATGGTGTTCCAATCCAGATGAAGATTGATCAGAACTTGGCATTGTATTTCACAATTATATATTTTATTTCAAATTTTACTTTTATTTTTTATGCAAAAATAGGAAATATGCGGACAAACTACTGCAATAATCAATGGTCACACTATTGTTTTTTTAAAGTAAGAAATGTTATTTTGCAGATAATACTTTTGAACGGACGATGAACAAGTAGGGTTTTAACCGTTTATTGTGTGAATGTGTTATCCGAAACAGTGTAACTTTATGAAGTGTTGTGAGAAAATTTAATTCTGTCGGTCAATGGGCGTCCGTGGCTGAGTGATAAAGGTTGCTGTCTTCTAACCACTTGCTCCTTACCACTAACTAAAGGACGGTTGTATTCTGGTTGAAATAATGCACGTGTCACATTACCTTCACAATTAAAGCTGGAAAGTCGCCATTGTACCTCTTCTGTGTTGGTGCGACGTAAGACTCAACAAAAAATAGCGATAATTATTATGGTGACTAATTTGCGCCATTCGTGTTTTCGCTCCGCAACCCCGCCAGACAAAAAGTCGAAAATTAACAAGCTAAAATTTCGGGGGCGCGGAGCGAAAAGTCGCTAATTAGCGAGGGCGCGGGGCGAAGTTTAGTAAATAAAACTTCGCCCAGCGCAACCCCTCATTAGCATGTTTTCGCCCCGCGACCCCGCCAAGCGAAAAGTCGAGAATTAAAAAGTTAAAATGGCGGGGCGCAAAGCGAAAACACGCTAATTAGCGAGTTTTCGCTCCGCCCCGCCGTTTTATTTCTTAAATCTCGCTCCACGCTCCCCGCGCCCTCGCTTATAAGCGACGTTTCGCTCCCGGCCCCCACCATTTTAACTTGTTAATTTTCGACTTTTCGCTTGGTGGGGTCGCGGAGGGATAGCACGAATTGCACAAATCAACCACCATAGATAATAAGATAAAAAAAATGTCGTAAGCATAACGCATTTTCTCAAAATGATAGATACTCCATGTGCACCTTGGTCTTTGCACAATTAAAGCGTTAACATGCTTGATGTTTTCTTCATTTAAGATTTAAGATGGGTTTCTATCGTGTTCTATAATCAATATAGATAAGTTTTAAGTTGTTTATGATTCATTTACTAAAGTGGAACTTTTCATTCATTGTTGCATAAAGTTTTAGTTTTCTGATTTTGCCCTATTGAGCGTTCTTAAAGGTTAAATACAATCTTTTTCTTTTTCTTTGCAAATGACCTTGTTCCACTGAATATGTTGGGCCCTTCATTGTAATGAAACATCCACAGACTCTTACAGAAAAGCAGCTTCTGATGAAGAAAAAACGCTAACTCATACCAACAAAAGATTTGCAAGAAGTGTTTGTGTGCGTGCGCAAAAAATGATTTATATATAAAGCACATATACGAAGATGTATGGATTCCAGGCTAAGAGTATTTTTTTCAGATGAAATCTTACATATTATTATATTGTATATATCTATATACATGTATATAAAAGCTATGTCTTATTAAATATTTTTATCAAAGTTATAAACGGTTAAAAAAGTTATGTTTTCGAATTTTGTAGTGGAGGCTTTAAGATATAAGATATTGCAAATGACCTGTTAGTTCCAAACTGAATTTTTGCGAAAGTACAGATTAAGAAAAAGCAGCCTTCAGTGAGAAAAATATTATTATTACAACAGAGTTTGCAAATGTTTGTTCAGTAATGATACTATAAAAGCAATATATCTATTTTCATTAGCGCCGTATTTAAGGTATTTTTTCAGATGAAATCTAATACATCACGTAAATATATAAAGCATGTCTTATGAAATATTACCAAATTTAACGATAACGCAAAATCGGCACGTGTGTGTGAGCACAGAATATCTGTTATGTAACACACATGGTTATGCACCCAAAAATGCTTCATTTAAAGTAAGATTTAAAAATGTTTAAATCATCCAGTGACTTGTACACCCAACATAGCGGGTGATACATATATGTAGGTTTATATACTTTAAAAAGACTCAAGACCCCAAAACGATTCAATACATGTATATTTGATTCTATCTTAATATGATTAAAAACATATTATATTTTAACTACTATCAAAGATTGTTTCTTTTCCGTAAAGAAACGTGCGTATTGAAACAACGTTCCTGAAATGAAAAAGGGAAACAAATTCGGGACATTAAACAACATTTTCGTCTTTGATAAATCAAGTAAAATTTACAGACGTTGAACCGAAATATATGCGTATATGTAAAATGAATTACATTTCATACAGACAAAATTCCATAAATTTACTTTTTATTTAGTTATTCTACTCACAAATCATATATGACAATAAAAGTGTACGTGTTTAATAATAGTCATGTATATCATAAACTATCACAAAATGGAAGCAAACAAAACGTTAATTAAGCTTACATTTCATATAAATCATATAATTTACAAAACCAGAAATGAAAACAAGTAGCTAAACACCAGACCTAACGTCATGTAGGAAATGTCAGGTTGGTTGTCCAAGAAAACCGGTCAATTGGATCGGCTGCCGGAACAAACCAATCGTAGCATTCATTCTATATAGACATGTACAAAAAAGAAGAGACTATACGTAACAAGGATTGCGGTTTGAAGGCTTTAAACCATTATGTTATAAGTCAGATCTTTGCTTTGAATAAGACTACAAGAACAAGAGGTTAGTTTTCGTATTTTGTAAAACTGTGAGGTCATACATTTAAATTGTCATGTAACTGATGTATTTTTCTATATGCATTGATCAATAATAACATCACGTTTTTTTCATCTTTTTGTCTGACTTTTAATCTATTTAAATAATTAGACTTCTACAGTTCTACAGTTCGGTGTTGTTTTATTTTTGCAAATCCTTAAGGATCATAGATTCCAATACATATACGTTATTGTGTTAAAGATTAAATATTATAAAAATTCGAGAATCAGCCTGTCTCGCTAATAAGCCTGTCTTCATAATACGTCACCATTTTCTTACAGTCAAAATAAAATGAGCCGCTTTTAGCGACAAAACCAACGTAATGCGTTTGCGACCAGCATGGATCCAGACCAGGCTGCGCATCCGCGCAGTCTGATCAAGATCCATGCTGTTCGCTTACAAACCCTATTACAAGTAGAGAAACTGATAGCGAACAGCATGGATCCTGATCAGACTGCTGGTCTGGATCCATGCTGGTCGCAAACGCATTACGTTGGTTTTGTCGTGACGCGGCTCAAATTGAAAGTTAGCCGGGCTTGAATAAGACTATAACTATTACATTACACATTTTGACTTATTGAGAATGAACAACACACAATGATTATAACATTATTATTAATTCTCGACTGAATTTCAAATCTATATTAAGTTTACTGCTTATGCCTGTCGGTGCTAGGGTGCGCGAAGAATCGTGCAATTCTCATTTTCTCTCACGAAAAGACTCAATCAAATTGATCTGCAACTCTCGAGGGATTTTTTATTTTCCATTATTTTATATAATCTCCCAGTGGAAATGTATTGAAAATTGAGATATTAAAAATATTTAAATGCTTCGAGATTAAGCTATCTACATTACGATATTATCACATGAAGATGTGGTAACACAACATCCCACTCAATGGTTTAATGGTATACCACCGATACCATAGCATTATGTTTTACGATTCAATGATTTAATATGGTACAGCACATATGTCATATTTTTCAGGTTGACTGGTTATTCCCGTCTGAATTCTTCGTATTGATGGCGGAGGACTTCCGGGTGGAGATTTGAACTCAAACCGCTGTATCAGTGTTCCAAGAAATATGAATAGCTCTTGTTTTGCCAAGAACTTGCCAACGCATGACCTTCCACCTATGGAATAAAAAAAATCGCTGATATTACATGAGTTTAAGAGAATTCATATTTAAGTGTTTGCATATCAATAGGTGTTACTTTCTTATATTTTTTGGTTTGGCATAATAAGGGCAATGTCGTATATATTTTTTAAATTATAAGTTATTTTACATAAGAATTTTAGAAAGAATTACATATATGAACTATTCTTGCGAAAATAATAGTTACTTTTCATTAAACACACACAAAATTAACAATGGCGTGTGCAGGAAAACTTGCTGGAAGATATAAAGTACACATTTACATTTATTATATTTTGAAACATCCTTCTTGGAAGCTTTTATTAGTAAAGTAATCTTTCCATGAATGGACAATATATTATGTCGGTCACAATCATGTGTATTTGTTGGTATAACATTAATTTCGTAACGCAAAGGAAGTAATCAAGAGTAACATCATTTCCATTTTTTTTTCATTATTATGTTTTTTAATATTTTTCGACTTGTGACTGAAGTGTTGCGCGCGAGAATGGCGGCGACCATTTATCACTGCGTGATGTAAAAGGCGACTAAATAGGTTTGAATTATTTCTACGCAGCAGTAGGGGGTTTTGATTCTTGCTGTTGCTTTAAGTTTGAAACACCCAATGTTAGCCAATATCATCTTTCTTGTTCCGGCGTCATATGATAATTGTTAATGCCTAAATCATCATAAGTACTCACCCAAACTAAAAGGTGCAAAATGTTCCTTGTCTTGAACAAATTCGCCTTTTTCAGACAGGAACCTCTCAGGTCTGAAATTATCCGGATCTCCCCACTTGTCTTTGTCCATCAACATAGTGAAGAGAACGAATATTACGACGCTATTTTTAGGTATGGTGTAACCTTCAAACTCTGTGTCTTCTATTACAGAATGGGGAACCGTTTGTGGTGCTGTGATAAAAACAAAAATTTTGGATAAAAGATAGAACTAAAAATACATTTGAATTAATTCTATTTTATTTTAAGTAACGTATTCATTATTAAAGTCATATGGCGACAATCCAGCTAACAAATGAGTAAAAAAACAACAACCGGCCTTCCAAGACAGAATTCGAAGTCCCTGGTTTGGTTCGAACCAACAGAAAGAAGGGCAACTAAAGTTAGCGATCTTAATTGCAGACAAAATATTTCTATCCTAGACAAAACATTAATATTATTCAAACATTTTTTTTCTAAAGTATTAAGAAATTATCAAAATCCATAGCTGAAGACATATGAGCCGCGTCACGACAAAATCATCCATGCTGTTCGCTTACAAACTCTATAACAAGTAGAGAAACTGGTAGCGAACAGCATGGATCCTGATCAGACTGCGCGGATGCGCAGGCTGGTCTGGAACCATGCTGGTCGCAAACCCATTAACTCTGCCAACATTCCCTATAATCAGTGGCAGACACCGTAACTTCAGCTTCCTCTTTATCCTGACCTTAACTCATGTGTTGTAATTTTCTCCTCTAGGTCTTAGTTTGGTTCAAAATTCGTGAAGAATTTTAATTATTTACGCTTATCTAAAATGTAAACAAATAATCTTTGTATTGAAGTCCATTTTTTAGAATATACTTTTTCTTCGTATGCATACTTACCAATTGTACTATACCGCAGGACCTCGTTAAGAAAAGCTTGTAAATATGGAAGGTCTTTTTTATCATCTAGACTTATGCTTCGTCCTGTACCTACAACCTGAAAAATAGCATCAACTTCCGCTTAGGTAACACAATACTAGAAATAAGAAACAAGAAAACAACTGTTTTATTATGTACACTTTTTCCGCAGAAGCAAACCAAATCCACATTGGAAAATTAACACTTGTTATTTTCTCCTTGGCTTTAAGTGGAATGGTATATAACATACCCGTTTTGTAATTAAAGTTTAAAGTGTATGGATTTTTCAATTCTTTAGAGACGGCATAACCCTGACACCATAACTTAAGTGTATTTTATCGTATAGTTTGTTTCTTTAAGAATTCTACAGTTTTTAATGCGCTTAATTTGGCTAAAATAGCATTACAAGCCTCCTTAATCTAAGGTCAGTATATAATAATTCTAATAATCTGTGTCAGTGTATATACTTTGACTACTAAGAGTGTCTATTAAATCTACCTCAAGAATTTCTTTCCTGCATTTTTTCTGGACTTCTGGGTTCTTTATTAGTTGAATGATTGCCCAGGACATGGTATTGGCTGTAGTGTCGGTGCCAGCATTGAAGAGGTCGACAATCAGGCGGAATAAATTGGCCTCTGAATAAATATGTACATATATAGAAAAATATTTGAAACATCCCGCTTGAAACGAAAGTGCTTAGCCTCTGCCATTAGTATAGCGCTAAGCATCCTAAAAGTAGTGTGACTGTATACTGTCGGCTGAGTTATATCCCTAAAATTGAAATTTTTGGAAAGTTTTAGGCATTAAAGAAGTTCGGTAGATTAAAAGCATCATCAATATTTATGTCAAACATTTGCATGCTAAAATATATGATATAACGTATATTAACGTCTTATGCAAGACATTTGTATGCTTAAATATGACACAAAATATAACAACATCTCTTGTTAAACATGTGTTTACTAAAATAATCTTTAAAAAAAATTCTTAAATAAACGTCTTGTATTAGGCATTATTATTTTATTTGGTCCAAAATAATAGCATGTTTAAAATTAGGCATTTTTGTATAGCTTTTTATAACACATTCCATTGGTTTAAACATATTTCATTCCTCACATAAGCATATTTACATACCTGATATTTACCATCAATACAAAAATGATTAGACTAGAATAGAAGCAACATAATGCTTAATGAAGTCTTTTCCCGATGTACAATAAATATATGTGCAAAATAAAACGAAAGGAATTGTCGTTTGTTTATTAAAAAGACTGATGTGTTTCAACTTATATCGAAAAAAGATTTATAAATATAGAACAATTCTTTTTCAAAAAAGCATAATAAGACTTATGATGAGTTCAGATGAACGAAAAATAATGAGGCAGAAAAAAAGAGGGAAAAACGACAGAAAAAAATTACCTGTGCTTTAATTCTTAATGATAGTTGATAATTGTTAGAGTGTCAAAGCGATTCGATTTTTCAATATATTTGTGAACTGAAAGAAATATTTTCTCATTTTCTAGGTCTGCAAGTGCCGTGTCACCAAAAAGAATGATATTTAGTGAAACATGACAGTACGTGCTTATACAGTTTATCATGTTTTTATAAAGAGGACAGTCGTGAAAAATGTGACCAGTTGTTTCCCTTTGTCCACAGACGTAAAGAGGCGATGGTATGATATTCTTAGGAAAAAGGTCTTGAACCAAAGAGCTACAGTTGGTCCTCAGACGTGTGTGGGAAATCTGAAGTTTTCTTTTATCATAGAAAATATATTTCGGTGGCTTTTGAATAAAAGGGAATATACTCTGTTTTAAATGACGATAATGTTGGAGAGCTGAAAACGTCACTTAGAAGACTGTTAAAGGCTTAAACACATACCATTAATAGCGTCGTCTCCATTTCCACCTTCATTCTTTAAAAATAAGTCAACAAAATCCCGGATGTTGTCGGGGTCAAAGGTTTCCCGATGTTCTTCAATGCGACCTTTGGCATATTTTTCAAGACTTTTGAAAATACCAAATACTTTGCTTATCTGAAAATATAAACATAATAATATTAATGATGAAGCTAATTTTAACACATTTCATGTTCAATTTTATGTTATCAGTCGGGTTCTTTGTTGGAATGAGTGGAATTGAATAATCGTTATCCTTCATTGTTTGGGCTATTTAGCAATATCTCACTTTATCAGGTTATGAACACTTTTTTGTTATAACAAACGCAACAATCGGCTGACTGCCAAGACTTAAGTTTATATATTTACTGTATTCCTAGAAATTTTCGCGGAAACAAAATTTCGCGATTTTCATAATGCAGGCGTCACTGTCCCGAAATTGACACCAGATGGGCATACGAATATGGAATTTTTAATTTGGTCGACAGTCGACAGTCTCTCTCAACAGCCGAAACGTGTACGATTCCTACAGATGGTCACGCGATCGCATCCGAGCCACACACGATTCCTACCGAAGGTCACGCGATGGCATCCGATACACACATGAAGTCACCTAAAAGATGCAATTTTGTACCAAGAAGTTTACCAGCAGGACACGCGAAGGTCACAGGATAGGTACACGACGTCGTATTTTGAGTACGATGCCTTCGTACGCGGTTACGAAGGCGTCAAGTGGCCTTCACCTTCGGGTGGTATACAACCCACGGCCAACCACGGCAAATTTCAGTTGCAGATAGTATTTGGAGCTAATAAAACTACGTTTAAACTTTATTTTTGGCTCTCAATATTACTATCAAAAACACTTCTATTCACACAAAAATCTATGATAAAAGTGATGACTTTGATTATGGTATAGTAAACTATCCACATTTAGATGGAGACGTACGGCATGCATTATCTGACGGGGTATATGTATCTCAGTAAATTAGATTCGCTAGAGGTTTTAGCAACGTGAAGGATTTTAACAAGCGAAATATTTTACTAGCAAGCTTCTCAAACAGGGCTACCGCTATTATATATTACGCAAATATTTTACAAAATTTTACAATCGTAACTTTGATTTAATCTCAAAATTCAGTAGTGATTCAAAAATGATTTTAATGGAGATGTTATTTACAAACTTCGCAAGATCTTTGGTCATTGTAATTTTTCTGTTGCCTTTACTAAAATTATTAAACGTTTAACAAAAAGAGGTTTTGACCCTACTTTTTTAGATATACCGCATGCCTAGTGTTCAACACTTTAACAGTTGGTCCTTTCCTCTTTTGATTACATCTGCCGGACCAAGTGGGATACTCTATGATGGACAGTTCTTTATGCCCTTTGGGACTGAATTGCCTTAATGTTCATCTTCTGCCTTGCTTCGTCCTGGCCCTTGTAGGTGATTACTTTGTAACTCTTTTTTCTTCCTTTAAAATATTGAGTACTTTTGTTATGGTGATATGGGTATTCATCTATATGTATCTACATGATCATTTCGGTGTTTTACTTATTTTACCTTTTGAAACCATAACAACTGTTATAAATTTACTTGGCGGGGATTCATTTTATTTACACCGTCTCGTTTATAGGAACATGGTGGGCTTAGAGTGAGGTTTGGTGCACCATTAACCGGTTTAAACTCCCCAGTAGTACTTATGCTGCTGAACGGTCCAAGGCGGTGCCCTTCTTTGTTCCTTAGATGTATGTCTTTGTTATTTCATACTGTTTTGGTGACACTTTTGTCGGTGTCCATTGTTGTGTTCTCGTCTACGGTAAGTATTTTCCCTTTTTCCTCTAGTTTAATAAGTCAATCATTAATTTGTTTTCTTTGATTTCCTTGTTGTTTACCATTATTTCGTCTTATGTATCATTAAAGTGATAAGCCTATCCGTGCTCTATCTTGCGCCCTGTCCGATTTTCTGGGGGTCCTCTTGTGTTACTTGGTTCTTGTTGCTGGGTCGTGTTGGGGTTGCGTTCATTGAACGCTACCTTTCCTTGTTGATCTTGTTTATCATATTTGATAAAACTTTATCATGCCACCCAAGATGGGCCTGTGGGCTTCATCATGTAATTCTGCAGGAAATAAGCTGAAAATAATTGTAAATTAATTGCAAATATTGGAAGCTTTTGATGTCTATGTAGAGATGTGCAAGAGTGACAGATGAGGAAGATGGTCTAGCGTTTATATGTCCACCATGATAAACATGCAACGCTTGGGCCACTAAAAATTGCCTTCTTCGTCTCGATGACATCTTACCAAAATACGATGGTGACACGACGGTATTGCGGGGGCTTCAAGTAGTCGTGTACCCTTTTTAAGACTATCGGGAACTATCGGGAATCTTCGTGTTTACATCGTATTGTCTTCTTGGGCTAAAAATGCCAGATTGCACCGATGATCACACGAAGAAAAGACGGAGACTACACGATTTGACAAGATGGCTTCACGACGGCCTTACGAAGGGCAAAATTGGCATACGAATTCAACACGAAAATGAACCTTCGCAATGTCTTCGTGCAATTTTTTGGCATGCCAAACATTTTGAAACCGCTCACGAAGTTGCTGCCGGAGCTTGTAATATTCAGCCGGGGATCATACGATGGCAAAATATGCCCTCACGAATGGCACGATGTGATAACGATCAGATCCGAATTTGAACATTTCCTTATCCGTGTGTCAATCTGATGCCAAATTCGGGACAGTGTGATGCCTGCATAAGGATGGCGTTTTCGCGGAGACAAACTTTCGCGCAGTCATAGTGACCGTTTATTTCGCGAATATTAAGTCGCTGGGGTAAAGAGCATTTAATGTATATTACTAACATCACAATTACGTTTCTGTAATCTTTTCGCGATATATATCTAGATTAGTTAACACTGGCATAAATTGTATCAATACACGTATATTTCATAACAATACAAACTCTTACCTTGGATCCGGGAAGAAATCTTAATATGGGTAAAAAGTTTTCAGGAAGAAACAGGCTGAGTTCTTTGAAAATTGCATCGACCTTGTGAATCAGATCCGTAAAGGTCGGATCATTGTATTCAAATCTAGAAGAGAAAACAGTGAGGGAAAAAAACAATTACATATATTATGTTCCGCTTTGCTAAAAAATATATGATAGAAAAAAATATTATTATTTAAGTACTAAAACATAATTCGAAATAAATATACAGAATTTTACCTTTTAATTTTGAGTACAATAGGAGCAATAAAGACGCAAATATTATTATGTTAAGGAGTATGACGTTTTTGGTAAAGTTCTAAATCTCTGTTCTGATGGTATGTACGTAGTGTGAGTATTCATTTTTTCAATACCTAACAAATATATTTATATCACTCTTTTTCAAACATTTTAAGGTCGCAAGTATTGTCTAGGAAAAGAAAATAGCTCAGCAAAACTTTTAAATTATGTTGTAATTACATACGCCCCTGTACTTATTTTCTAGCCGAAGCTTAAACAATAATGGCCGGCACGTACCTGCTTCCGTAGACAATCCCTGCGATAATATTTGCGACGGCCATTTTGAAGGTATCGAGATGATATGCTGGTTTTCCATCTAGTTTCTCTAAAACTTCACTTAAACTGTGAATGACATATAGAGTATTAATTTTAAAGAATTGGCTTATTCTTAGAAATAATTGAAATAATTTGTATTGAATGTCGTGTAAAATCGATTTTATTACAATTTAACGCAACCCATGATAACTTCATATTGTTCTTCTGCAATTCACGTTTCTTGTTCAATATCAAACGGAAGAAGCTATGATCATGGGTAAACGAAATTTAAAAAAAAGGAATCTTGATTTCCCTGGACAAATATTAGATACACATAAAGAGTAAATTTGCTAAATCTTTAAAGCACTTAAATGATATATCTACAAAACAAAACTAAGTCAAAGAGGAAAAACAACTGCAATCACTTTACACATGCATGTTTATTACCCTTCCAGATTTTTTTCCGCCTTTTTGATTGGATATTGATCACCCGAAAGAAATTGATATAACCGAGCCAGACGGGTAATATACACACTAAATTTCCCCGTTGGGTACCCAACGTTGTAAACAACATGCGCTGAGGTGATGCGCGTACGGTTCGATTTTACGCGGTGTAAATTCCGATTTAAAAGCACTTTTTAACTGTTGAAGAGGTACCCTAAAGGGAATCTTATTTCGACGTTTCATTTGAAACAGCAATGATTTTTTTTTAAAAAAAATCGTCTAAACTCGGCAGGGGAAGGGTAATAAAATTATTATTTTGGTTTTGAAGTGATATATGTGGATATATTACCTGCCAAGATAAAATATCACCCTCGCCTAACGGCTCGGGTGATATAAAATCTTAACAGGTAATATATCCACATATATCACTCCAAAACCAAAATAACATATAATATTATTAGTTATAAAGATTTTAGACAGGTTATATGTCCCTATATAGACGGTTGTTTGTATACATGTATATATAACATAAACAAATGCCACAATAAAAAGGCCATGTAACACCGCAAAACGTCCGTACCGCAAAACGTACCCGTGTGGACGTTTTGCGTCGCATATCGTTCACATGTGGACGTTTTGCGGTGCATATTGTACTTGGTACGTTTTGCGGCGAGAGTGTGTTTTTGCGTCGCATATCGTCCATATTTTCTGTATTAAAATCAATTCATTATAAACGTTACTTTTATTGGTTCTGTCACATTCATATTGTTTCAGGTAAAGATATGACGAAATAAACATTAAAGTGCAATATTTTAGTGATCCTATATAATTCTGACTTTTTTTATTAAAAAAAAAAAGAAATTTGCTTAAGCCGAGGATTTTTTTTGAATAAATTTTTTTATGGAATGGAACCAAGCAGCAGCAGCAGCAGCAGAGATATAAAAACGATGATATTGAAATAAATGTAATCTTATAGACATACAGAAAAGGACGGCTATACGGACGGACGAACCGGGGATTGGACTGAGTGAATGACAATGAAATATTAAAATTAAGCTTCGCTTTTGACAATAGCTTTTCATATAATTGCATCAAGAAGTGGGAATGATTTTTTGTGTTCTTGTTGACTATGGAGGTTTGGTTCTACCGTTCATTTTTACGGATGGATGGGGGCTTTTGACAGCGTAATCATATTTAAGCGAGAGAACTAATTTTATAATTGAACAATGTAATTTTATAACTGAACAAAGCAGAAAGGTTAAAGGTCAATGGCAGATAGCATTGAATATTACAAATAAAAAGCAAGTACATTTCATGTTCTTGGTCAGAATCTGGGTAACAGATATCAGTACTCAATTCTATGTCTTAAATGGTCATCAATATCCAAATATCTGCAAATGACAAAATTTATGCAAAATAGTGACCTTGAGGTCAAGGTCATTTCAAGGTCAATGTTATAGTTGAACTATTCAAGATGTCCCTCCTGTCATAAATGTATGAATGACATCTGATCATTGAAAACAAAGAAATGGCAGTTTTATCACAATTCAATAATTTGACTTCAAAATATGTCTTTATCTTTATTATTCAAAGGCAAATAACTCTTGACATATTCAGTCGTTTTAGGTCATAAATGAACTTATCGAGACCTTATTGTTATACATATTCTGTATAAAAATAAGGATGGAGAAGAAACGAAAGCACTAACAAGGTGAAATATAGTGCGTTTTTTGTTGTTTTTTTTCTTTTTTTTTTGGTTAGATTTAGCCTATAATCTAACTTTGTTGAGATTTTATTGTCATAGATATTCTGTTGAAAATTGTCAAGATTGAAGAAGAAATGAAAGCGTTGGAGTGGTAACAATGTGAAATATAACAGATATTGTAATTCAATGACAGATAACTCTGGACATATTGCTTAGGGTATGTGGATGCTAGAGTGGTAACAAGCTAAATTTGGACGGACAGACAGACAGGCGCATACTCAGGTGAGCTAAAATTAACACACAATAACACCTGATAATAACTGGTCAAAATTAACGAAAATTATATGAATTTTAAAAATTTGGACGTTATGCGGCAGGACCATGCCTTTTTGCCGCAAAATGTACGTCAGAAAAATGTGGACGATATGCGCCGCAAAACGTCCATATATACGTACGTTTTGCGGTACGGACGTTTTGCGGTGTTACAATGCCAGTCAATTTGATCATAAGAACTGTTATTCTCAACCGATCGTACGGAATCAAGTTGTTTTCCCTTAAACAAAATCCCGCAAATAAAATGGAAAATAATGATCTTACATAACTGCTTCCTCTTGAATTCGACCTTCGATACTTCTTTTCCCAACTCCAAAATCTCTCAATGCGTTCAGTGTGAATTTTCGGACAGTAGCATGGACATCACCATTCGAAAAAACAAGTCCTGCAAATACCATGCCAAACAGGTTTTTTTCACTAAACTCTTCTAAATTTGCTTTTTTCATTAAATAAAGAATGTCAAACTCTTATTTAAACCCAAACACTTAACTTTTATTAAGTACATGTAAGTTGAGAAAGACAAATTTGTATTAAGCTGAACATTATAAAGAAATGAATTAATTAAAAGATATAAATTTCCACCATGAAGTATTATTTATATTCTAAAATTGGAGATCCCAAGGAACAATGACAACAAAAACAAATAATCGAGAAAGTCTGTTCATGAGAGATAACAAAAAAGTTACAATATCTCTCACGCCCCGAGCACCGACTGAAGCGGTATTCTATCATCTACACAAAACATATTGACAGATTTAAAACAACTACATGTTAGGTAAAATCAGGGTCTTTTAAATATTTCTATTTGGAAGACTATGGTAAAAGCGACAAAAAAAATCCAAAAAGAACGCTCAAAACGTCAATATTGAAAATGTCACAGGTTTGGTTTAATTGAGTCTTTTCATGGACGGTAACAAGCTACCCCTGAGTCCATTAAAGCAGCACGCCTCCAGATTCATAATAATTTTCATGAAAATTTTGAAAATGTATTTATAAGTAAAATATTGTGAAGTGAACAAAGAAATTAATCTATACATTGTAAACGGTAGTTACAATTCACGTAAATTACCAAAACAAGGGTCAAAATATTCAAAAAAAATAGCCCTCACTTCGTTAGTCACGCACTAGAAAGATGGTGATAAACATTGTAAAATCAGTCATTAATTGCACATAACATTTACGTAAATCATTACTTAAACCTTGACTCTGTTTACTTTTTTCTTTTTTTGAAATATTTTGGCTTATCTAGAGGCAAACAGGTTTAAACTAAATGATTAAAAATTCCATACGCACTTACTCTTACTATATTCAGCGCTGTAAGTCCATAGTAACTTACCTTGGTTATTGAATATGTAATTCGTAACAAAGAAATTTGTAGGTCTGTATTTAAACGACTCGTTCATCGTGACAGCTGCCTTGAATATCTTCTCTTGTCCCATAACTAGCACAACGTTGCTGTTCGGGCCAAGTTGTAGCCTAACCAAGTCTCCGTACTTTTGCCGTAAGTTTAAGGCAACTTCATACAGTGCTCCCTTCCCTCTGACATCAAATATGTTACCTTTGAAAAAAAAGTCATAAAAACATAGTCAACTGTGAAACCGAAATCTAGTAACTTGTCAATAATGTTTAGAACTTACAGAGTACGTATATTAAATTGTAAATGTGATACGTAAATGTTAGAGTGGAAATGAAATAATGCCGGGTTTCTAATTACATGTAAGGAATTTCAATTACTGTAAATTGTTAATTGCTGATAAAATTGGCAGTCATCTCTTTCATTAAAATCAGTATTAAGTTTATAAATTACCATATATTTCTTAAGTACAATATGTTTAAGAAAACCATTTCCATTTAACTTCATCAGAAATATATACATTTACATGTCCATTATTTGATCAGAACATTTCAAACGAAATGTTATCAAGAAGAAAGAGTAAAAGGGCGTGTTCGAAATCCGTGACACCCCTGATTTTAATGACCTAGAAACTCGGTGAGAATACTAAGCGACAAATCTGTGATTTCAATTTTTCATCAAAAACATTATGTTTTAAATTGAAGAAAAAAGTCCATACCTATAATGGGCAATGGTTTAGGTCCCGGGGGTAGGTTAGTGTATCTCTTTCCATTGAAAATATACAAGAAACTCAACACAACTATCACAGCCACCAACAGATATACTGGCTCGAATAACAGTTGAATAAAATCCATTTCACTTCCCGTCGTTCTTCAACCCTGCAAGAACAAACATAAAAATATCTCCAAAAAGGTTCGATAATTGTCTTTCTAGTCGTACAAACTCGGATAACTTCGTATTTAGGTCCGGTAACTATAGCCAAGCTACTTGACGTAAAAACATCAAGGGACGACAACTGTGAGAAGACACTACTATTATGTGTTCACAACTTTGACATGAGGGCAGTAGGTCAACAAAATGTCATATATAAAAGCATATAAACGCTTTTAAGTAAATGGTCAGTATATGTGTCATATAATTTAAACAAGATGACATTTCTATTGCGGTCTATACAAATAAATATCTATTTTTACTTTCATTTGTCATATTATAATATTCATTCACCCCAACTCCTAACTTTGATGCAAATCTCTCTTGTACTGTAAAAAACGTCTTCTAGCTCGCCGTTAATCTTACAATTTTGCAATGACTTTAAGGGTCCAGTCGTGAATTTCTTTATTAACTTCTAGTAAAATTAATAACATTTAGTATTTCGAATCAAAGAAACTTGGGGTGCGAAGCTCTTAAAATTCGAAATAAAATGTATACGAGTATTTGTCAATCCCAGGACATATAAAACTTAACGACGCGGTCCGTTGCTATGAAAATTGATCGGAAGTAGTATTTTTCGCGCATGCGCAATCTGCATAGGGCAAAAAAAGAAAGCGCCCTACATAGAAATGTAGTAGAAATTCATAGACAATTCCGAGTTAATTTAAGGTAAAAATTAGAAAATCATATAAAATAGCTTTTAATATAAACACAAAAGATACCTTTATAGCTTTGTCATAAGATTACCATAAAAAGACATGGAAAAGACGATTGTTTAAGAATTCCCCTTTACGATCACGGACCTGACATTGATATAATTATAATAATATAAAAAATGTGGATATATATATATATATATATAATTGTTGAAATCGTTCATATAAAAGCTAAAGAAGTTTTATAACATATAAAATCGAAGTTAATTATCATTCTGAAAATAAGTCGGATCAGATAGCATTTTAAGTTTTCAGTTTACCTAATTTTATACTTTATCCAACTTGACTGTGATGCCAAACAGAAATAATTTAAGTCACATAAATATATCTAAATCATTTTTCAAACTCTTAAGAAGTTAAGATGGGTGGTAAAATAACACACATTTTATCCGTTTCATCGTAACACATGAAAATGCACGTTACGTACACTTTTTGTCACTTCACAAAATTGAAAAACATTGATGAGATTGGTATAAATAAAAGTTACTTAAATTACTATTTTCATAATTTTAAGTGATTAACTATGTCATGGTACTAAAACGTCCCGGTTGAATGATATTGTAAACTAGCTGGCAAATAACAACCGGTCACGTGTCAATCTGTTTGACACTTACCGCCTTGCCAATCCACTTTCAAAGGAATACCAATTGTGTAATATTATGTAATACATGGGTAATAAAATTTATCTTTAACACCCTGCTGTTTTAATTTCAATTACTGATGAAAAAAGTCATCTAATGATACCTTGAACGAAGGACATTTGGTCAGTGAATTATTAGTCCTGCTAATTTTGTATAGCTGTAATGAATATCAATTCACGTTTAAAGTACGTTCCGCTTTTATTCATCTTAAAATATTTGTTTTCTGGGTGTCGTAACTTATAATCACGTCTTTGAAAGCCTTCAACTGCGCTAAATGTAGTCCTACGCAGAATGCGCATGCGCAAAATGCAACATCGGTTGCTATGTAAAAAGGTCTATAGATACGCTGTTTTGAAAAACTGTCTAAATTATTATAAAGCATTTTGTGCTCCACATCACAAGTATCTGTGTTTGGAATCTGTTCACTGAATGATGAAAGAGGAATTCTATCATTATTTATAATTATCAATGGTACTATTACTATGATTATTTTCATCTTAACAAACTATAAATATAATCGTATAACTTATCCCTGTATAGGTCAAAGATTACATAACTAAATTCTATGTCGATGGCAGTCTGTTAAACATAACAAAGTGGGGAGGATTCCTCAACTAGGTAGTAGGTCTAAAAATGCTTAAACGTTGGTAAACATTTGAATAGAAAATAAAGAAACATACTTGAAACTACACATGTAATCGTCCGAGGATGCAAAACATTTTTTTTTATAATAAATTCTGTTATAAATTCTAAAAAGAAACAGAAAAACACCCACTTATTTTAATATTTGATAAAAATTTAAATGAATCAAACTTCATAAAATTAGCAATTTAGCAATTACCCTCCGATAGTATGTGCACACTTTGTTTATCCGTGTTGAAATTTACTTTTATATCAAATAAAAACCGTTCCATATGTTCAACTTTAAGCGTAAATAAATATTATCCCTGAATGACCTCAATTGCATTAGTAGTGTGAACACTACAATTTCTGTTTACATAGGAAATAAACCTGACCTCTACAGATATTAAAAGATATCACTTTCAACAAGAATTGCAAAATGCGAAAAAGTCTTAATAAAGTTACATAATTCAGTATTTATCACAACAGTAAAACGTTCTCCCTTTTGAACTTATTAACGCTGGTATTATTTTGCTATCACCTTTTTGGTAAATACAAACCGCTAGTTAAGTACATTTGCACTTCAGTATGTGTTTACTTGACAATCTTAATGCGTTTGCTTTCAAAATCAAACAAGCATTGATGAAATCCAAGATTTGTCGCTGAGTATTCTCACCGAGTTTCTAGGTCATTGAAATCACGCGAAATACGGCACAAAATTCAACAAAATAAATAATTGTATTAAAGTAAAATTTTAAATTCTGATAGCTTTTTGTTATATTATGTGGATATTGTGGTGTAGCAGACACTGACAGACAGGCGGATTGTTCTTTAATTTTCAGTCAATGCCTCGCTTTTTTATTTAAATAAAAAATGTATTGTTTTAGCTAGCATACGGTTGAAACGTTAAAATATTTTCTGTGATTCTGAAAATGTATTCATTTGACATCAGCTTTGCGCAAAAAAGGAAAAGGCCGACAAATTGTTGCAGTAGAACAACGGTTGAAATAGGTAAGGGCAATAATTCGGAATAACACGGAAAGTCAATTAATTTAGGCTTTTTGGGTGCCTGAATTTCGCTTACATTTACATCTAAGATCTCATAGATGTATCATGCCGCCATCAATGTGCCGTTCTGAGCGATATACAAGTCCATTTTCTCCTTCATACTAATACCCGCTGACACACCATGACTGAGCCCCCGCAAAAAAAAACGGTCATGTTTAGCAACGCATACGGGTGGGAAATCTCCATACCTATCAGTGAAGTGCACACAAAATCTGAATTCGTCAGTGAACAGCACTGGGGTTCAGTCATTCAAAGTCTATCTGACGGGAGTGCGTGCCCATTGGAGATGCTGGATGTGGTTGGTTTCATGCCACAGGAATGCAGGAAGTCGTTTTGCAAGGCAGTAGCGGTAACAAAGTGCTTACGTCAAGTTTGGGCGACAATTAAACGGTCTTGAAGCCGAGTTGTGATCCAATCACAACCATGCCTATGCCTGACAATTCCGGGAGTTCGAAACCCTTCCCACATCCTTGCAGCAGTGCTCTGGGACACCCAAGGACACCTGCCGAATGCCGTTGGGAACACCCAGGCTCAAGCATCCCTATCCCACTAAACCATTAGTAATCCGTACCCAATGCTTGATTTAAAATAAAAGTTACTATGCACAAGCAAAGTTTGAGTACATGAAGGTACATGCCGATGGCGTACGTCTTTTATGGGTACTACTATTCACGTTGATGTCAAACCACGTACAGGTTTAAAATCAATTTCTACTGGACAGGTCAGGTATGTCATTAAAATCGCTTACATTGGGCTTACAAATATAAAGCGATCCCTAACAAACTTTGAGTAGTATATAATAAATAACAAGACAAATATTTGTAGAGTTTGAAGTTTATCATAGGAATGTTAAATATCACCTGAATCACAGATATTTGAACACATGTTCAAGTCGTGGAGAAAATCCTTTACCAACTGTCCAATATGTAAACATAACAATTAAATACTTCAAAGTTATATATTGAATTGGCTAAATTTTCTCGCCCAATAAACATAGACAAACTGTCAGGCTTCCCCTTATCAATACTGTAACATAGAAAGTAAGGGAGATCACTGTATGCAGACTGAAATAGTTAAGACAAATTGCAGTTATATCCCTTGACAATTCAGATACATGAATGGTATGGTAAGGAACATATCTTTTTTCAGCTAAACATATCATAATCAAAAGAAATTTAAGGAATATCAAATATACCTTGGCAAACTAATAATTGTCTATCCAGTTTATAGCTAAGACAATTTTTCATGTGTAAGCAACTCATAAATTGTGATAAATTGTCATGCAAGTATTAAAATAATACTACAAAACTGACTAGAGTGAAAAAACAAATGCTGTCAGCTAGACTATTTTCACAGCCTGATATTATAACAAGAGCCATAAAGTCAATTACACATAGGGGTATAATTAAGTTAAAAGTTCATGCCACAGTTACGGGTCGTGGTTAATGACCTATAAGTATAAACCTGGAGAAATATGTGGTTTTAAGTGAATACATTCAGCTCTTGTGGACACAGAACTTCAATATAAAACACTGGCAAAAAAATGTTTTACAAAGGGGAATAACTCTGTAAAAAAAACTGTGTAAATGTTAATAGAAACTATCTCTTAAAATATGACTGGGTCTATCTCTTAAAATATGACTGGGTACTATTAATAAATTTATATTAAATACTTTTTTTACATATGAAACTGTTAAACACCAAAATATATCAAAAGATATAAAAGGGAAATAACACAAAAATATTCCCATTTTCTAAAAGCAAAAAAAACAACCTACAAATGATGGACCTTGTGCAAAAAATTCTTAAATTTAAAATCATATAATGTATGTAAATTGTGCTCGTTCTTTGTTTTGTTTTTGTTTTAATTATGTCCACCTGAGATGAACCAACAACAGTCTGTGAACTTTTTGATAATTTTCTTACATCAAAGAATCCAGTCTAAATTGTCAAGTTTTAAATCATTGACAGCGAGGACCAAGTGATTCCAAATCAGCTGACTATTCAAGGGACTCCACTGAGGTTTTCTAACATGATGGAACTGGAAATAATTCTTTGAAATTAATGTTCCATCTGATGTAGGTCTAGACCAATAGTTTGTATTCCAAATTTCAGATCATTTTGCTCACTCTGCTTATGAAAAATGACCCAAATCGGGCTAATAATTGTACAAAAAATGATTTTCTATTCATTTCTGAGTATATTTTTTTTATTATCGTTTACATATCTTTTTGTTTGAAGTAACCTAGTTGAACAATGTAAGAAATTCTAATTTTATGTTTTTAGGCTTTTGGACCTCAGTGGAGTTTCTTTAATTACATGGTCACAAAGGCTAAAAAAAAATCATTAAAAATAGCAATTAATGTGAAATGTCACCAAAAATCTCAATTTATTTATTATCTGAATGATATTTCATATGTTCAATTACTGCTCCTGATTGGCCTTTACCTTGATTTCTATTGCTAGAATTTCAGCTAAGGGGTTTAAAGTGTATAAAGCTATATAAATATTATCTTTGCTGCAATAAATCAATGTTTGAACTGTTTAATTTAAGAATACTTCAATGATGCTTGAATAAAAAATATATGGTAGTATATTGACATAAAAGCAAATTTCGCATGTTAAAAATCATTTCTAAAAGACTATTATCCCCACTTACAATAGCAGCATAAAATTTCTGAAAAAAATATTCTGTTAACATTCACTATTCATGTGTGTTCAATAACAGAGTCAGTCGATGTTACAACACTTTTGAGAATTGATCATAAGATAACTGAACTATTTAACTATATAATTTTACTGTTGATAAATTATATAGCAATATTTCTTGAGATATAGCTTTATACCCTTTAATGTTAATAATAAATAAAGTTTGAAACACCACATAACATATCCACATAACATTTATAAATAGCTTATACCAAAACAATATTCATTAATATAACAATAACAAATGTAATTAACAACAAAATATAAATAGCCTCAAAACAATATGTCATGTGACAACAAGTCATGTGATCATGAAGATTCTTACTAAAGATATCTAGAAATCATATAACAAGAGCTCTCTTAGGACAGTGTGCACAAGAGTCTGCATATTGTAGAATTTTCTTAGTATAAGAAGGGCCATATTTCTGTCAAAATCCATGTAAGAGTTATGGGACTTGGACAGTGACCTCCTGTTCAAAAATGTGTGTGAAGTTTCATGCCATTCCCTTAAGTAGTTTTGGAGACACAAACCTGCACACAAATACTTAACCAAAATGTGACACTGACACAAGGGTGGATACAATAGCTATCCGTGTTCTTCGAATAGTCAAGCTAAAAAAGTAAAAATGATTCTCACAAAGGAAAGGTTAGACATGCCTCGATTTAAGCAGTGGATAAAAACAACCTAGCTGTCTGTGGAGTCTGACTAGGCTCTATACTGTTGGAAAGTCATTTTTTGTAATTTAATATTCTTATAAATCCCTTAAATCTTACATGGACTGCACCAAATATAAAGCAGGGCAAAACAAGTACAAAAACAGCACATTAAAGGGGTTAAAAGGTGTCATATGTTACATGAAAAGTTTTAAGAATGCGTAAAAAGTGAATATTCCATGAAGAAATTTCAAAAATTATCATTTTCATTTCAAGCACTTGTTTCTTATACATGTAGTATACATTGACAAGTTCATTGGCGTCAGTTCATTCATTAATGCAGACCGGAATAACACCATTTCTCAACTCTCAACAGTGAACTAAACTCCCAACTCATTTATTACGTGATATTGGCATCTGGTCCTTAATAAATAATTGTACAGTACAGAAAACAATAGCATTTAAAGCATGTGACTTGTCTTACAGGGGGATGTTAGATAAGTTTTTCTAGCACCAGTATAAACAGCAGAAAATACATCTTAAAAAAAAAACATTTTCTAAATATAATATTTCATAATAAAATCCTATCTAGAACAATTAAAAACGTTTCATATAGTTTTCTATTGAAATACAAATGAAATAAGTATAAAAAATGTGCAAAAATACAAATTTATATAATCTATAATCTGCTGGCAGCACTGAAAATACTACCGGGGAAATGTTACCAGTGAAGACCAAGATTAGTCGGCACATCTGTGCCATCTGATGTGGTCTGAACAGTAATACAATTATAAGTCAGTACAGTCATACATTAACATGGACACTTTCCTTAAAAATAATGAATGTTTTTTATCAAGACTGAAAAATCGAAAAATCAATTCAGAGAAGTAAAAGTTAAAAAAATGTCTTGTAGTCAATGCTTAAAAGCAGCATATATTCAAATTTGTGTTATTTCAAATAAAAACTGAAATTATTCTGACAACTTAAATAATACAGAAACAAAAAAAACTGTTTTAAAAAAGATTATTATGCTATCTTAAACCAAATGTAAGGAAGTTACATTAAAAAAAGATAGTGGCAATATATGGCAAAAGTCATTAAAGCTAAAATTAAAGTGACCTTTTTACAAGATGTTTATGAACACATGTCTTCTTTGTTTTACAATTAGAACAGAAACGACTTTGATATGATAAATCTATCATGCCCTTACATTCAAATTGTTCAAATTTTCCAGCAAAAAAAATTAATAATGATCATTAAAATTTAAATATTTTCAGTAAATTGTATCTGACAGTATTACCTTAATGAAGTATCTTGAAACACCTTAACACACTACCAGGATGGAGGTCTTTGAGCCTATAATCATGAAAAATTTAGATAAATTTGTGAAATTCTAAATTTAAGACTAGATACTTATATGCAAATTCATTCTCAACAATCTGTAATTCATTTATTTGAAAAACAATGTCACAAATGTGGTCAAAGATTTACCTAACAAATAAATTAAGTACGTATCATGAGCACAAAGAAAACATTGTGTTAATGAAGCATTTTTTGCTGACAGATTGTAGAAATTCTACAGTTGTTATAAGTAGAGGATACTGAATGAATGTAGGTTTAATACTGAATTGATTAAACAAGTTGAATAAAATTACATTATCCAAGTCTTTGGCGAGCGTTATATCATTTTAATTTATTCAATGAGTTCAATAAATTTAATAATGAATCTACACAAATAAAATATTCTAGTTATCACATACCCAAAAAAAAAAAACTGTTTACAGAAGACACAGTCATTATTTTATTCACACGCATATAGTGTCATGCTGGCATTCAGCTGGTATTTACATGTACTCTATGATGTCACATAAAAATATATGCAAGGCCGTGCAATACCTTTTAATGGAGTCGCAAAAGCATCACGGGCATGTAATGTACTGACTAAAGAAAACTCTCACTAGGTGAAATATTTTTACACATACAGTTCTTGTATTATGACATCCATACCAAAATACTAAAATGCGTCTTTCAGAAAACAATTTCAATAGAAGTAACCTGTATTAGACATGTTTGATACAAGAAATCAATTCATCCATTGTTTGTCATGAACAGACTCAGTCAAACCGAGTCTGCAATTTACACTTTAAAACTTTGCTTTATTGGTCTCAAGGGATCTCCCTTTTTCCAGTTTTTTTAAAAAACAATCTGTAAATATTTCTTTTCTTATTTTAATTATGAAAGTCTTAAATATTTTGATTAAATGCTCATGGTTAACAATTATACTGTTGAAAAAAAGAAAATTAAAATTTAAGATAATTATTTCTATTAAAGATCTCAAGTTATCATTGTAATTGTCAACAAAATTACATATTAATCTACCTAACAAATATCAAAACTGATATTTCAATAAATGCTTTTTTATCAGAAATACATTGGGGTTTTTTTTTAAGTAACAAAAAAGTGACGATTTCCGAAGTACATTGTTTGAACAATCAATGTGCTGAAAAATATCAGCAAAAAATCTACAATGTATAGAAACTACACTTAATGTGACCAACATAATACTTTCTGTATTTATATCTGAATATTTTCTTTAATTTCTAACATTTTTACTTGAATTTTAAATATATTTCTAAAAACATCATTCTAGGCAGTAACTATATTGTAGATACTAGAGCTGTCACTGATTCAGTGCAAGCATATTGATACTATATGAGCCCATCACGACAAAACCAACGTAATGCGTTTGCGACCAGCATGGATCCAGATCAGCCTGCGCAAACGCGCAGTCTGATCAGGATCCATGTTGTTCGCTTACAAACCCTTTAACAAGTAGAGAAACTGATAGCGAACAGCATGGAACCTGATCAGACTGCGCGGATGTTGGTTTTGTCGTGACACGGCTCATATATTTATATCAATATCAGATGTTAAATATCAATAATACATCAATATATCCATAATTGCTTATAGTTACTTGTTTATTATTCACTTTCATACCAATTTCAATGATTTCAAAAAATAAAAATCCTGTTCATATAATAATTATTAATGCCCTTTGCATGATTTTTTCTGACTTTTTTTGTATTACTGCTAAAATACCAGTATGTCCATTATGATGTTACTACATCATAGTTTCAGACATGGACACCTGCTTGTCAATATGTTTTGGGTGAATTTTCCTAATTTCTAGGCATACCCCGGTAAATCAATCAAAATTATTTTATTTTTTTTGATGTGTATCAATAACTGATCGGCAGAAAAATATCGACCATACACCAGTAATGACTCTATCAATGACAGCTCTAGACTAGTGAATACTATATGCTGACTTAAACATGAATCTTCTTGACCCGTGTTGGTAATTCTACAGCACTCACTGTCAAAGGCCACATACCACCTAAAATACCTGCCTGTATAGAAACACCTGTAGCAACGGCAAGATCAGGATCTTCTGACGTAATCGGTGCTTTCTTGAAAAACACTTCAATTAATTCTCTTATTTTTGGAATTCTTGTAGAGCCTCCGACTAGAATAGTTTCATCTATATCTTCTATAGTCAAATCCACGGCTTTTAAAACAATCTCAATAGGCTCTAGAACCTTATTAAATAGATCACTATTTAAATCTTCAAATAAATCTCTCGTTATTTTTTCACTGAACACTATATCTTTATCTTTTCCGGTCAATGAATGAAGAGTTAACATTATTTCACTCTCTTTTTCTCGTGTCAAGTTGACCTTGAGGTCTTCGACATGTAACAATAACCCCTGAAGGTCCTCCCTATCGGTCAATGGTTTACCATACCTTTGCTCAACCACCTTTCTTAAATGAGACATTAATCTCTGATTGAAATCTTGACCTCCAAGTCGGTTGTTCCCTGAATATTGAAAAAATCAAATTATTGAAACATGCATATTTTTCTTGTTTTACTAAATTTCATACAAGAAAAATAAGTCTGATATTAGCCTACTTCCCATGTCCTGTTTTAACCTATATACTATAATACAGTTACATCTATATTTATTGATAACTTTTTAAAGTATTTCACAGTTAAAACATTAACCCATAACTTGTGGAATTTGTGAAATGGACTTGCCCAGCTTTGAATTTGGAACAGCCCATTTCTAAAAGTATTTCAATATCAAAATACAAGAAGAACTGTCTATATAAGACAGCACTCACATCTATTCTCAGTGCTGGACAGTGAGAAAAGGGACATAAATCTGTAGAAAAGGTAATCTGTGCCCATCATGATGTTAGATAATCACATAGAACAAATGTGTGAAGTTACAGCCCATTCCCTTTAGTAGTTTTGGCGATACCTACTTGCATGCAAAAACTAAACTTAAGTCTTAAGGCAATGCTGATGCTAACACTGATGCCAAGACAAGTACAATAGCTCTCCCTATTCTTCGAATAATCAAAATATGGAAATGCAGGCTGGCCTGGCTTTATTCTGGTGACAAAGACTTATCACTTTAACTTCCAGTAGGTAAAGGGTTAAATCAACCTTTCTCACCTGCCATAGCTTGTGTAAGGAACATTCCTCCTTGAACATTTAGCAATGAGACATCCAGAGTTCCTCCCCCTAGGTCCACCACAATTACATTCTCTAGTCCCAGTTTATTGTGAAGACCATATGCCAGGGCAGCTGCTGTAGGTTCATTGATAATTCTTAATACCTCTAAACCTGTGAAACAATAAAATCTTATTTATTAAATATTATCAATCAAACATGAGCATCGCATGCTGTTTTAACATTCATCTGTAAAAATAACCACTTTTGACAAAAAATCTTTGTTAAAAAGGGGCATAACCCAATGAAATAGCTTTCAGAATGATGCCCCTTGTCTAACAACTGCACCTTGTCATGATAAGCAAACATTCCTAGTTTCATATTCATATCTTTAAAACTGTCTAAGTAATAGGCTACATTTTTCCACGACAATGACGGCACAGCCATCATAATACCTCCGCTTTTACTTCGAGACAGACAAGCTAAAAATAACAGTACTAAATTTTATGTACATCTCTTATTACTAAGAGTGGTCATTCAAATGACAAAAATAAACATTTTTATTTAAGTTTGATAGTTGAAACAGCTTGTTGCATATTTGAAACACTCATGAGTTTGCCTCAAGGAACTAACCTGCATTATATGACAGTCGGTCAGACTTTTTTCCTAAGTTTATAATTGATCTCAGGAATTTCATTGGTCAATATATATTCTGTGCTGGTTTCTGACCAATCAAATACCTGAGATCTGAGTTTGAACTGGTAATAAAAACTCCTTACAACCATGCACCCTGGTATGAGAACCAGAACTGAGCTCAAACCCACAATAACTAGGTTGAGAGGTAGACACCTTAACCACTAAGCCACCACTCCCTTTAAACATGTTTTTTACATATTAGCACTTTTTTTAAATAAGGTAAGAATAACATTTAATTTTCTTAAAAAGTACTATCTATGTCAACTGGGAATCTTTAGATAACCAAATTAAAGTTACTATACCCGCTAAATTAGCTGCCTTCTTTGTATAATTTCTCTGTCTTGCATCAAACTCTGCCGGGACAGACAAAACAGCCTTTAGTACAGGTGCACTAAGGTTGTTAGCTGCTGCCTCACGTAATGTACTGATTATAATTGCGCCAACATCTTCAGGATAAAGTATCTTTGATGATCCATTTACCTTTACAACAAAATGAACTAGACCATCCTGATCTCCCTCTAACTGTGTAAAATTAGGGGATAAAAAATACAATATGATTAATATGATAAAATAGCATATAACAATCTAGCGTGTTTTTTTTCTTGGTCAAAATATTCATCAAACCTTCCTATGCTATATGTTTCAAATGAACTTGTCCATTTTTAAGTCTAAAAAAAACCCATTCATCATTTGCAGGTAAATAATGACTGGTGAACAGGGTAGATGAAATTTAAATGGCACAAAAATACAAAATGTAATATGTAAATAACATTTGGAAAGTTAATTGTTACTATTCCCCTATACTGCTGCCATATGCTTCATAAATGTACATAAATCATTAACATTTAGAGCTATGCATACATACAGTACATACATGTAGTCAATTAACACTCAAATAATCATTTCAATCTTGAATATATTTATAACAAATTGATTCAGGAAAAAAAAGTGTTTAGTAGTTTAATCACTTTTCATCTGCTCCCTAGAATAAGCAACACTGATGTCATATGAAATAACATGCTTGTGACATATTGCAATAAGACTCAAAATCCACAATCTATGCACTTTTAAGGGAATTAACATATACTACAATGTACTTCTGAATAGGCTACTGCCCTAATTTGTAAACAAATCAAAATCTCACCTTAAATGGGTACTGTTTCTGTGCTTGGATTATCTCTGAGTCAGTGAATGTTTTACCTATGAACCTTTTAGCATCATATAAGGTATTGTCAGGATTGTGTTCCTCTTGAGCAACAGCATCATATCCCACAAGCACTTGACCTGTTGGACTAAATACAAGTAAAACTTAATAAGTATTCATGCTTTTTAGGTTTTAAGACAGATTTTTACACATTTTTGGTAATTTGTTGGCAGTCCCTTCACCTACCGGCTTGTCTTGATTACTAACCATCATTTCAAATTTCTCTGCAAGCGACTAACTGCTAATCCCACATGACTTCTGAATCAGCAGTGGGAGACAAAAGCCCAGTAGGATCAATTATCACAGAAGATGAGCAAAACTGTACATGTACTTTAATTTTACAAACACACTAGTTTAACAAAATGGTGACTTTATGCATATCGTAATGTAACTTTTTTAATTCAAATATCTAAAAATTTAGACATGGAAAATGATTGGAAAAACATTTACTTTTACTTTCCTTTTACTTATTAACCATTGGCATGTAGTTCCTCCTTACACCCCTGTAAATATTTTTTTACAGAAATCATGGACCGAAAGAAATAAAGAAATTTAACCAAGATGCAAGTTGATCATGATCATACCTAAATGCTACCACACTTGGTATACATTTGTGTTTATCCTGTACTTCTAGGATATCTACTGTACCCAGAACTGCATGGTATACTCCAACACAAGAAAATGTTGTACCTGAAAAGTAGCATGAGAATAATAAGTATTGCATCATCAGCTTTAAATGTACAAGAAACACTCAGCTGCTTGATCAATTGATAATATTTTAAAGGGATTCTACTGATGTCCAAAAGCCTAAAGACATAAAATTCTAATTTCTTACATAGAAAGACATGCAAAGCATAATTATATACACAGAAATAAATAAATTGAAGATCGTAAGTGAAATTTTAGACCTGCTTTGAATCCAATTTTGGGTCATTTTCAAAAATTAGAATAATTCCAGAAAAATATAGTAAGTTATTGGTCTTGACCTATATCAAATGGAACATTATTAATTTCGAAAAATTTATTTCTATTCCCATCATGTCAAAAAACATCAGTAGAGCCCCTTTAACTAAAGCCCTGGCTGAGCTATGTTGTGTCAGGTGTCAGGTGTCATCAATAAGGATTTTTGTATCGATATATCGGTAAGGAATTATTGGCGATACAGCGATATATCAATTGCCAGGCAAAATTTTAGCTTTCAAGTCTTTTTTAATGTTTTGTAAAAACACTGACTATGCAGTTATATTTAAACACATGCAAAAAAGATAAATAAACTATGAAAACTGAACAATTTGTTTCTTTTTTATTATATAACTATAAATGACAACTAATGACTAGTAGCAATAAAGTTAAAGCCTTTTCCATTTTAATTTTGTTGTTGTTGCTGCTATTACATACGTCCTTGCCGTTCCAAGTAAACCAGGGTTAAATTGGCAAATTATAGTGTTTAGAACCTGAATAATTATTTAAAGTTTAACATTTTGTAATCATAATTTTTAAAAAGAAACACCGACGATAATTTTCTGGGCATTTTCCCTTTTTAAAATCTGAATTAGGGGTCTTGACACCCACTTAGCAGACGTGCAAGATTACAACGAAATTCGGCAGCATTCGTTAGAGACACTGGGAGGTAACTTTGGCTTTGATTTCAGTTTTTGTTTCAGAAAAAAGAAAGTGTTTGAAATATGTTAGTTCTGGCTTCCATGTTGCTTTTATTTTGATGTTTTGCAATAGTAAACAGGTCTATTAGTACTGTAAAACCTGTTCACTAAAGTCTCTTTAGCTAGAAATATATGTGCATTTGATATTCAATATTTAAAAAATGGAATCGATATGGAATCTGATAACAAAGATCGTTGATACACCAATATCGATTTACTATATTTCTACTAATTGCCAAAAAGAAACAGAAGCAAAAGATTGTCCAGGTAATAAATGACCTATGAGTAACTTAAGGGAAACTATAACACAGGATACCAAACATTAAAAAAAAATCATTTATAGGCACAATGGGCCTTTAATATAATCATTCCAATTAATGCAAATAAAAACTTACCCAGATCTATCCCTACAATTTTAGGTTTAGGTGGAGGAAGATATCTCTGTGCCCAGTAGCCAGCCAGTAACACAGCTAGGACTGATGTTCCTTCAATAGAAAATTAAACAATAATTTTATATAACACATTTAATATAAACCATAATAGCAAAGGTATGGAAAAAAGTCTATATGGGGCTGTACAAAAATACTTATTTTTTATTGACTTTAGTCGCATTTATAATTCAGAGATGTTTTTTTTCTTCCTTTTTTTCTTTTTTTTTTTTTTTTAGGAAACAATGCTAGAGAAATTTACAAAAGCCAACTGGCATAAGACTTTCACAATCCTCTGTGTCAGGGCTCAGTACAGTTCATAATTTAGGGGAGATGATGTATAAACAACATGATAGCTCAGTCAGTACAGCCACAGTTCAGTGTTCTGAGGGTCCTGGGTTCGAGTCCTGGTCAGTCTGCACATTTTCTTACCCTGTGACATTTGGCGCCCAACGTGGGGCCGTGACTGCACATTGCTCTGTAACTCTGTGAAATTCGAGGACGAATTTCAATATAGCAGGGGAGTATGTCACAGTTAAGAACAGTTCACTATTTAGGGGAGAAGATGTGTAAGTGGCCAGATAACTTAGTCAGTAGAGCCGTTGTATGGTTTTCCTTGGGTTCCGGGTTCGAGTCCCGGTCAGGCTGCACATTTTTCTCACCCTGTGACATTTGTATTAACTATTAAACAAACTAGAACTGTGTCCAAAGGACATGGATGCCCCCACTGACGACATATATATGGTATGTAGTGAAAAAATCAAGGGCCATAATTCTGTTAAATTTGGTCACAGCAAAAATTCCTTCCTTTTCTTCCATCTACACATTAAGGTTGTTCATCCCTGGAAGTTAAAGCAAAATCTGCCATCCGGTTTAAGAGGAGTTGTGTTCACAAAATTTCTATATGGTATATAGTGAAAAAATCAAGGACCATAATTCTTTTAAATTTGGCTGCAGTAAAAATTCCTTCCTTTACTACCATCTACACATTAAGGTTGTTCATCCCTGGAAGTTGAAGCAAAATCTGCCATCCGGTTTAAGAGGAGTTGCGTTCACAAAATTTCTACATAGTATATAGTGAAAAAAATCAACAAAGGGCCATAATTCTGTTAAATTTGGTCACAGCAAAAATTCCTTCCTTTACGACCATCTACACATTAAGGTTGTTCATCCCTGGAAGTTTAGCAAAATCTGCCATCCGGTTTAAGAGGAGTTGCGTTCACAAGATTTCGGGACGTACGGACAGACAGACGTACAGCAGAACAGACGTACCAACGTATGGACAAGTGCAGCGCTATATGCTCCCCACTTTGTGGGGGCATAAAAAGGCCCAACTATACCATTAGAAGCCTTTTAAATATTGATGTGTTTGGATGGTCTGATTAACCAAACTTGAGTATAAAAATTAAGTCTATGTTGATTACCAATTCATCACCAAATCATGAAATGTTTTGGGGTTTTTTTATCAAGAAAAAATTCAATTTTTAATAATATCAAGTTGAATTTGGAAATTCTCAAACTGTCTATTTTCAAATACAACTACAACAATTTAAGTGATAACAATTGGAGAATTCTATCACACATGTGAACGCATACATGTACAAAGGCATGTTAGAAGTTGAACACAGGGTTGTTTAATTAACAACTGTCACACAAGTTGTACGGAAATCATCTTCACGGGCAGTTAAAGTGTGAAAAATACATGTATCTTCAAATCGAAGCTGTCAAATTAATCGAAGGACTTTACTTTATTTATGGTAAGTTGTACTTGACTCATTCAATACTGACCACTAGAACTTCTACACATCGAAAAATTTGACACATAAATTTTCGACTCAAGTACTGGTTTTTATAAAGAATACATTGGAGAAAATCAGGACTTTCAGTTTACTTCATCATATCGAGAAAATAGACCAACAGAAGTTTGACTAATAAAAGTTTGCCTAATCGAAGTTCGACTCATAGAAGTTCTACTGTAAACTTAGAACAAAACAATAAACATTCATTTTAAACATTTCCTTAAAGAAAATAATTATTACACAATTTTAATAACGTGTTGAGAATCGTCATTTACACGGTACAAATCGTCATTAACGTTGGGTCGAATCGTATGAGGTGCGAATCATATTTTTTTCGTTAAAATCATCGTTATCCTCAATAAAAGATACAAATTTGATAATATTTACCTAAAATTATAAATGTAGAACCCATATCGAATGTATGTTAGTTTTAATATTCACATCATAGCCCAATTAATTGCCCAAAATAAAGATGAAAACAAACAGCTGTCAGTAATGAATAACCGGAAGTAAAATCTGACGTGTCTTTCGGCTCAGATAAAAGGGACGTAACTGTGTATGATAACTGTCGGTATCTGAAACCATTTGCGTATGCCCGTCTGCTATAGTAGAGCAGTGTTACGTCTACCTGGGATATACTATAACTTATCGTATGTCATTAAATTAGTTAGCTAATGCAGATATAGCTTCTAATAATAATGGGGGAAAAAAACACTTTTGACATAACTTTTTCCAAGAATGTACGGCTTATTTAATTAGCTTTTACCAAAGGGGTACGGCTCATTGAATGTTCACAAAATATGTATTTGATGGTAGAAAACATTTATCCTAAGTCAGAAATGAATTCTAAGTACATTCCCATTACACTATCCTGATTGGGCATAGACACCTTCTTATGGGAGTTGTTACCCTTGTCTATATATTAGTATATAGTGTAATGGGAATGTACTTAGAATTCATTTCTGACTTAGGATAAATGTTTTCTACCATCAAATACATATTTTGTGAACATTCAATGAGCCGTACCCCTTTGGCTTTTACTAAAACCGCGGCTTTAATTACAAATCCGTGCTAAAACCAGAGATGTACGTATCTGTGTCTCTGCTAAAACTTAGACAGATCTTAAGGAGGAAAAAACACAAAAAACGCGTAAACTTATATTATTTTTACAAGTAAGATCTTTTGTGCTAAAAAACGTAACAAAGGAAACATGAAGCTAACGTGGGGCAGCTGCAGAAGTGATATCTCTATTTAAAACAGTTCATCTCAAGAGTAACACAGTGGCTACGAAGAATTTACATTTGAAAAACTGACTTTTATTGCTTATACCAAATAGTTTCAATTGATTGAGTGGATTAAATTTCGTTTTTAAAGTTGTTCAATTTTTCCTGTGTTCCTGCCTCGAAGATGCTTTATACAAATTGAAGGTAACGAAATTGAGTCCATTGTAGAAACATCGTTTACTAACATGGTTTCCCCAAAACTATATTCTTTGGCCTGCCTCCATGTTTGCCTGTCTAACTGATTTCAGTAAAACAATCATCAATTCAGCCCAAAGACTCGAAAACAACAATATGTCTCCGGTTTTACGTTTAGCGGACCGGCACCGCTCAGTTTCACTGCAATGAATTCCTGCTGAAATAAAGTAAATTTCAAATGCATGTGCCGAGATAGGACACCTAGCATCTAGACAAAATTGTATATACTTTGCAAAAATATTATGATGAAATCTAAAGAATATAATTCGTGAGCTGTAACTATTAACTTGGATGTTTACCTTAAAAGAAAATTTTCACTCAAAATAATAATAAACAACTTTGTAGATTTTTATCTCCACACATTAATTAACAGTTATGTTGTTTTTCAAATGACGACTGCTGAATTGACCACATACTATTTTTAGTATCGGGTTAACCACGCGAAAAGACAACGCAGTCAATACATATATATTGCTTCGCCCTCATCAAAACATAATTATTATTTAAGAAGTATTGCACTTTTGAAAAACAGACGGACTTGTAGAGCAGAAAAAAAGAATTAAAGGTAAGACAATACTTTTTTTTTTTTGATAATACTGTTCTAAATTAAATCTTTACCATGGTGGCTTTTAACGCCATGTCGTATTTTTCTCCTTTTCGAAATAAAATCTGAAATGCGTACACATGAATAGGCGACAAATCAAATTTTGTTGTGTCTCCGTGTTTCCGCATTTTCGCCTCAAAAGACTACCAATGAAAGGCAATAACACGAATTCAAACCTATTTATATCAACTGTCCTTAAAAACACCTGCAATAAAGTTCGAAACTTTTTAATTCATTACGTACATTTGTATATAGGTGTGGTAAATGTGATAAAAATAATAATAAAATAATATTGCCATTCGACAGCGTTATACATGAACATGTAGTATTAAATACGAGCTTCAATTCTAGACAATTAATCATGCCTTAATGCGCTAAAGATACGAGAAAACAATATAATTGAGCCATGTCACGACAAAACCAACGTAGTGGGTTTGCGACCAGCATGGATCCAGACCAGCCTGCGCATCTGCGCAGTCTGATCAGGATCCATGCTGTTCGCTATCAGTTTCTCTACTTGTTATTGGGTTAATAAGCGAAGCATGGATCCTGATCAGACTGCGTGGATGCGCAGGCTGGTCTGGATCCATGCTGGGAGCAAACCCACTACGTTGGTTTTGTCGTGACGCGGCTCACATTTTTACCATTATTTACTGTAAGAGAGTTTTAGATGTTTGAATTACAATGAATCTTAGTCTTAAGTATACTCACTCTCAATCTTATTCCTTCTACCGACATATTTAACAGTTAAACATATTTTTACTTGTGTTTTGCAGGACTACTTTCTTCTAAAATAGAAGTTTTTCAAATTGTTACGTCAAAAACATTCTGTAATTACAGTTTTGGTATGAAAATAATCACATTTCACTCATGTCTAGCGCAACTCTTGAAATATTTATCGTCATACTCAATGAAAATAAATTTCGCATTTTAAAAAATAGAAAGAAAAGAAAAAACTTGAATATCCTCTATTTCTAAACAATAATTATTCATACTTCATGATGAAGCTGCATGGCTATGTGATAAGTAAATATATGTAGTTGCAAATACATAATTGGTTTATGCCTAAAATTTGTCAGCTTTCAGTGAAGTGATGACGTCAGCAAAATGCATGCCGCTTGTATGTCTGATTCTAATAGTTTTGATTACTGACGTGGAGTTGAAAAAATGTAGAAAGAAGGAATGCAAAAAGGACAAACCCCCGAAGGTCCCTGTCGACTCTTTTTGCTCGATTTCTGTTGATTGTAACAATGCTGCAAATAGAAAAATCATCGATGGTACTGAGTATAGAATGAGTTCCGGACAATGTAACAATTTGGACAATTTTTCATGGGGAAATGCCGGTGTACAACATATTCGTGTGGTTACAAACGCGTATGCCAACGGTATGTATCATTTTGTGTTCGTTTCCTTAATAATCCTTTATTTGTTGAATTTGTGATATGATTTTGCCTCGCTTTGAATTTGGAACAGTTCTTTTGAAAATTTAGGGATTTCAATATCAAAATACAAAAAGAAATGAGCTTGCCAGGTCATACTTCACGGTCTGGCTAAATTCTGGTGGCATTTTTTAAGTGCTTGTCATTTTCGACTCAAATGTATGTTTATTGGGTTTTGTAAGTTATTGTTTTCTTTTCTTCTTTTTCATTTTTCATTTTTCTTTTTGCACATATTTAAAGATATACGTGTTACATGGAATCCGCCATCAAATGATTAAAATATTCACAGTAATATTATAAGAAATGATATAATTATAATAAGAAGCAATTTTATTACTATACATAGTACTCCAGAAAAGAATCATTAGCTGACAGAATATGCTTATACATTATTTATATCAAAAGTAAGTGGAATAACACTTCGTATTAAAGGTAAATGGGAACCAAGGAAATATAGTGTGGCCGGTACAGAGAAAAATGAAAAGAAAAAGGGTTCAAAGAAAAAAGGACAGAAGAGAGAGCGCGTTCCATTACCAACGCCACGCAGTGTTAGTAACGCAGTCCATGCTACCCCATCTGTCAAACCCGACAACGACGTGGCCGCGTCTTTGGCATTGTTTTATTTCATGCAGTTTATTGACCATGACATAACAAACACCCCTAAAGGTAATAATATTTCCTGCTGAATTTCAAAGGACTTGTCCAGTTTCCATTTTTGGAATTGTCCATTATCAATTTAGGGGTATCAAGTTGAAGATTTAAACTAAGTTAGCCAGCAGTGTATAGCATGGTTAGACAACATTGAGGTGCAGGCTGGTTTGGCTCTATACTGGTGACATAGACTAATTACGTTGTCTTCCAGCAGGTTGAATATGGTTGATTTAAATATTCGATTTTTTTTGGATAAAATACATTTTAATGGTATAAAGTTTATTGTGTTCTAAATCAATCATGCACACATGGAAATGCGCCTTTAAAAATAACCTAGTAATTGGCTAAATAATCAGCCCACGAAGTAGTTTTTTACTGTTGATGCTTTCTCAAATAGTAGAAATGAGCCGCGTCACGACAAAACCAACATAATGGGTTTGCGACCAGCATGGATCCAGACCAGCCTGCGCATCCGCGCAGTCTGATCAGGATCCATGCTGTTCGCTTACAAATTTTATAACAAGTAGAGAAACCGATAGCGAACAGCATGCATGGATCCTGATCAGACTGCGCGGATGTGCAGGCTGGTCTGGATCCATGCTGGTCGCAAACCCATTATGTTGGTTTTGTCGTGACACGGCTCAAATGTTTATTTACATAATAGAGTAAGCTGAAGAAGGATCAAAGTTACTAAATCTTTAATTATCAGATAGTGTGACTATTTTTCAGGCACCGTTGGCAAAAACGTTGATTGCTGTTTAGAACCAGTGTAAGTTATATACATTCAATTTACATGAATAAAACATTTTTATAGTGAAGTACATGTATGTTTAAAATGTTATAAATGTCTGTTAAAATCAAAATTAAGAGTCCATCTTCATAATAGTTTGTTTAAGTTTATTTCAATCTTTAAAATAATAAGACGGTTTATTTACGGAAAGTACATGACATTAACATGTATTTAATCTAAAAGTCAATCTAACTGTAAACAATTTACCATTTTGTGACGTTCATTTATTTACCTTGCGTAATAAAATCATTTTCTGACCACAACTTATATAAAGACATAACAGATATTACTTTGATATAATTTGGCGGACAACATGCCTCCAGGAATTAATAAAAACGTAATTAACCATAAGCTAAAGATAATTGAGCCGCGTCACGACAAAACCAACATAATGGGTTTGCGACCAGCATGGATCCAGACCAGCCTGCACATCCGCGCAGTCTGATCAGGATCCATGCTGTTCGCTGTCAGTTTCTCTACTTGTTATAGGGTTTGTAAGCGAACAGCATGGATCCTTATCAGACTGCGCGGATGCGCAGGCTGGTCTGGATCCATGCTGGTCGCAAACGCACTATGTTGGTTTTGTCATGACGCGGCTAATATGGTTATTTTGAAATCTAACATTGGGTTTTAAATTCTGACTATCATATTTGGACTTTTTAACTTTCCATTTAGTTACATTATATAAAATGGAAACAGAAATACGCGCAATAATGTTTCGTTTGCATTTAATATCATTTTCATAAAGATATTCATTTGCCCAGATAATCTTCTGTACTTAATTGAACATTTTATTCAGTTACTAGTTTACATTGGGAAAATCCAGCACTTTCTCGAGTCATTTGAATATACATTATTGGTCACATAGTAAAGAGATATTTAAGTTAGTGGCTCATAATTTTGATATGAAAATATACATTATGGAACTACCTATGAAAAAAATTGGCTGGTATTCTTTTTATCGATCAAAATTGATCTTTTCCAAACATTTGATGATTGTTGATAAAGTGTATATATGTTGATGTCATAAACTTCGTTATTTTGTATGTTTGTGTCCTTATTGGCTATACAAAATAAAATGTCTACTGTCTATACATGTTGAAAGGCGATGAAGGTTATCAATACAACACAACAATCTTATAAGTTATAACATCAAATTATTATTATTATTATTATTATTATTATTATTATTATTATTATTATTATTTCTTTTTTTTTTCCAGCGGATTTTGCTTACCATTAATAATTCAAGCCAGTGACAATGACAGTTTCTTTGAGGTTGGACATTGTATGGAATCCAGGCGGTCGCAAACAGTTTTTCAGTGTAACGACGGTAAACAGTTATGGTTATAAAAATATTCATTTAGCTGGATCGTGAAACAGGTTGTTTCAAACTTGTATTGATCACCTTTGATTTCAGCTCCGGGTACTTATCATTTCTTGTGTCATCCTTGACCATAGTAGGATTCGAACACTCTCATTTGATTAAGGTCGTTAATTTAAAAAAATTGCCCTTCACCGCATAAGGTTCGAATCCTGACAGGGACTTTGGGTTCTTTCATTTGAAGAAACCGGAACGCTGGTGGTTCTACTACGTTGCCCGTTCGTGTCTGAAAAAAAGATAATCCAGTAAAGAATGACCTATTGTGTGTTGGTGCCCCTTCCCCCTCTAAAAAGAAAGCAAAAGAAGTTTCAGGGTAACAGTCATTCTCATTCCACATACACATATTTGTTTCAACAAGAAGAATCTGGACCAAATTATCAGCACACGTGTAACAGTTGCTTGAGTTGTGGAACTTCAAACACAACACAATCCAAATAAATTGTATATTTGTTAATCCCAGCACATACACCTATTATTTATGTATTTATCCATTAAACATAATATACGCTGTTTTGAAAGAATATAAACTGTAGCAGGACCCCAGAGATTTAAAGCTTGAGAAAACTAGAAAAAAAAAGATATGCATTTTCAAGGCTTAATTTTCCTTTTATGCTGAAGTGTGTTTTTATCTATACTATTGTATACTTGTATAATAAATTTGCTTCAATAATATACCTTTGAATTATTTTTTTCAGATTCAGGTTTCCAAAACCAATTTAATGAAGTAACCGCCTACATTGATGGTAGCGGAGTGTACGGCTCTAGTGACGAACAAGAAAAACTTCTCCGCTCTTTTGTGGCAGGTAAAACAACTCGAGAAGCAAAATTGTTACATTTACTTATTACAGGGGTAGAAAAAATAAGGAAAACACCATACACACGGGGTGTGAAAGAATCATGTTTTTAGCTCACCTTGACCACTTCGTCAAGGTGAGGTATAGTGATGGGGCTATGTCCGGCGTCCGTCGTCGTGCGTCGTTCGTCGTCAACAATTGGGTTGTTAACAGTCTAGCAGTCACATTTTTGATTGGATCATCATCAAACTTTGTCAGAATGTTTGTCTCAATGAAATACAGATCGAGTTCGAAGATGGGTTATCTCGGGTCAAAAACTAGGTCACAGAAGCTAAAAATAGAAAAAGCTTGTTAACACTCTAGAGGCTGCAGTTTTCATCCAAATATTCTGGAAATTTGTCAGGAAGGTTGTTTTGATGATATCTAGGTCAAGTTCGAAGATGGGTCATCTCCGATCAAAAACTAGGTCACAGGAGCTAAAAATAGAAAAAGCTTGTTAACACTCTAGTGGCTGCAGTTTTCATTCAAATATTCTGGAAATTTGTCAGGAAGATTGTTTTGATGATATCTAGGTCAAGTTCGAAGATGGGTCATCTCCGGTCAAAAACTAGGTCACAGGAGCTAAAAATAGAAAAGCTTGTTTAACACTCTAGTGGCTGCAGTTTTCATCCAAATATTCTGGAAATTTGTCAGGAAGGTTGTTTTTGATGATATCTAGGTCAAGTTTGAAGATGGGTCATCTCCGTCAAAAACTAGGTCACAGGAGCTAAAAATAGAAAAAAGCTTGTTAACACCTCTAGGGCTGCAGTTTTTCATCCAAATATTATTTGGAAATTAGTCAGGAAGTTGAAGATGTTCTTCGTTTTGAAAATGATTTCTAGGTCAAGTTCGAGGATGGGTCATTCTCCGGTCAAAAACTAGGTCACAGGAGCTAAAAATAGAAAAAGCTTGTTAACACTCTAGGGGCTGCAGTTTTCATCCAATATTCTGGAAATTTGTCAGGAAGGTTGTTTAGATGATATCTAAGTTAAGTTGGAAGATGGTCATCTCCGATCAAAAACTAGGTCACAGGAGCTAAAAATAGAAAAAGCTTGTTAACACTCTAGTGGCTGCAGTTTTACATCCAAATATTCTGGAAATTTGTCAGGAAGGTTGTTTTGATAATATCTAGGTCAAAAGTTCGAAGATGGGTCATCTCTGGTCAAAAACTAGGTCACAGGAGCTAAAAATAGAAAAAGCTTGTTAACACTCTAGTGGCTGCAGTTTTCATCAATATATTCTAGAAATTTGTCAGGAAAGTTGTTTTGATGATTTTTAGGTCAAGTTTGAAATGGGTCATCTATGGTCAAAAACTAGGTCACAGGAGCTAAAAATAGAAAAAGCTTGTTAACACTCTAGTGGCTGCAGTTTTCATCCAAACATTCTGAAAATTTGTCATGAAGGTTGTTTTGATGATTTCTAGGTCAGGTTCAAAGATGGGTTATCTCCGGTCAAAAACTAGGTCACAGGAGCTAAAAATAGAAAAAGCTTGTAAACACTCTAGTGGCTGCAGTATTGAGTTAAATATTCTGGAAATTTGTCAGGAAGGTTGTTTTTGTGATGATTTTCTGGATCAAGTTCGAAGATGGGTCATCTCAGGTCAAAAAACTAGGTCACAGGAACTAAAAATAGAAAAAAGCTTGTTAACACTCTAGTGGCTGCAGTTTTGATTCAAATATTCTGGAAATTTGTCAGGAAGGTTGTTTTGATGATTTCTGGGTCAAGTGCTAAGATTGGTCATGTCCAGTCAAAAACTAGGGTCACAGGAGCTAAAAATAGAAAACTCTTTTTAACACTCTAGTGGCTGCAGTTTTGATCCAAATTTCCTGGAAATTGGTCAGGAAGGTTGTTTTGATGATTTCTAGGTCAAGTTTGAATATGGGTCGTGTTCGGTCAAAAATTAGGTCACATTGCCCAAATATGGAAAAATCTTTATAACACACTTGAGGTCACATGTTTGACTCAGTTGTCATCAAACTTGGCCATGATGCTTGGATGCGGTTGTGTCAGGTGAGCGATCCAGGGCCATCATGGCCCTCTTGTTTTTATTCCTATGGAAAGCTGATCTTTAAAATTTGGATAAAATTCAGTGATATAATACCGATTATGAAAATAATTTGTAAATAAACTTTGAAATGATTTCCACTGGAGAGGAGCTGCAGGAAAATGTTTTGTATTTTACATTTGTAAGATTAAGTTGTATTAAGTTATATCAATAAATCCATTACACATGCAAGAAATGTTTATTGATCCAACCGCAACTTTTTGGCCCTTTTCGTCAGTCTTCGGATAAGGACATTTTATGAATAATTGTCGAGGTGTTTCGAATGTTCTTTATCATTTGGAGCCAACAGCCCAATAGAACTATTGTGTATTTCACTATTTTTTTTTTATATTCCCTGAAGCCGCTTTGAATTACGTACACATTGATCCTTTTCTTCTTTTTCCCCCTATTTTCAAATCTTAAAATTATTCTTGTTCAACTTTAAGCAAATTGTAATTTGTGTAATCTTATGCACTAGCTGTTAAACTGTTAAATTTTTATATTATAAAGGTTTTCTGAAAACATCAACGGCTGAGTTCATGCCAGAATCGAACGAAGACCCGATAGATATCGAATGCAACACAAATCCGCCAGGTTTTTGTTTTGAAGCAGGTATGAGTTATTACAGGGCATTCGGTTATATATGTTGATACATATGCAGGGCACTCGGTTATATATGTTAGTATGTATACGGGGCACTCTGTTATATATATTGGTATGTATTCAGGACACACGGTTATATATGTTGGTATGTATACAGGGAACTCTGTTATATATGTTGGTATGTATACAGGACACTCTGTTATATATGTTGGTATGTATTCAGGGCACTCTGTTATATATGTTGGTATGTATACAGGGCACTCTGTTTTATATGTTGGTATATATGCAGGGCACACGGTTATATATGCAAGTATGTATACAGGGCACTCTGTGATATATATTGGTATGTATGCAGGGCACATGGTTATATATGTTTGTATGTATACTAGGTGCTCTGTTATATATGTTGGTATGTATACAGGGGACTCTGTTATATATGTTGGTATGTACATAGGGTACTCTGTTTTATATGTTGGTATGTATGCAGGGCACTCGGTTATAAATCTAAGTATGTATACAGGGCACTCTGTTAAATCTATTGGTATGTATTCAGGGCACTCTGTTATATATGATGGTATGTATACAGGACACTCGGTTATATGTGTTGGTATGTATACATGACACTCGGTTATATATGTTGGTATGTATACAGTGCACTCTGTTATATATATTGGTATGTATACAGGGCACTCTGTTATATATGTTGATATGTATACAGGGCACTCGGTTATATATGTTAGTATGTATACAGGACACTCTGTTATATATGTTGGTATGTATACACGGCACTCTGTTATATATGTTGGTATGTATCAGGGCACTCGGTTATATATGTTGATATGTATACAGGGCACTCGGTTATATATGTTAGTATGTATACAGGACACTCTGTTATATATGTTGATATGTATACACGGCACTCTGTTATATATGTTGGTATGTATCAGGGCACTCGGTTATATATGTTTGTATGTATACAGGGCACACATTAGGTCGATTGGGCCGGGTGTTAGTTTTTCATTTTCGAAATTCATTTTCTTTCTTTTTTTCTTTCATTTTCTTCATTCATTGGCTAACTGTATATCACACATTTCATTGAATAAACTTTTAACTAACTTGACTTACAAAGTTGCAAAAATGTGTGCAAAAAAGAATAAACCCATAAAATGACTATGCTTAGAACCTTTTGGTGTTCGGTTTTAAAATTCACTGTGTGTTACGCTATTAATACTTTAGCAAATACCAACGTTGAACATGCATTGAAACAATTGCATAAACTTTAATTGCGCTATTTTAATACCACGTAACAGCTAATTTACTTCATTTTTTTTCAAGTGATTTTTTTTCTTTATATCTGATTAGTATCTGTCCCTATATTACAGGTGACAAACGATCGAATATACATCCAAGTCAAACATCTTTGCATACCGCATTTCTTCGAGAGCATAATAGAATAGCCAGTATCCTGGGTTCAAAATACGCAGAGTGGACTGACGAAAAAATATTTCAAGAGACAAGACGAGTTGTTGAAGCCGAGATACAACATATTGCATTTACGTAAGATATACCGAACATTTGAGTAAGATTTAAGTAAGATATACTGATCAAACTAGAAGATTTAAGTAAGATATATTGATGAAACCTGAACATTAAAATAAGATATACTAACGAAATCTGAACATTACAGGAAGATATACTGATGAAACCTGAACATTTAAGTAAGATATGCTGCTTAAGCCTAAACATTTAAGTAAGATATACTAATGAAACCTGAACATTTAAGTAAGATATACTGATTAAGCCTGAACATTTAAGTATGATATGCTGCTTAAGCCTGAACATTTAAGTAAGATATACTGATGAAACCTGAACATTTAAGTAAGATATACTGATTAAGCCTGAACATTTAAGTAAGATATGCTGCTTAAGCCTGAACATTTAAGTAAGATATACTGATGAAACCTGAACATTTAAGTAAGATATACTGATTAAGCCTGAACATTTAAGTAAGATATGCTGCTTAAGCCTGAACATTTAAGTAAGATATACTGATGAAACCTGAACATTTAAGTAAGATATACTGATTAAGCCTGAACATTTAAGTAAGATATTCTGATGAAACCTGAACATTTAAGTAAGATATACTGATGAAACCTGAACATTTAAGTAAGATATGCTGCTTAAGCCTGAACATTTAAGTAAGATATACTGATGAAACCTGAACATTTAAGTAAGATATACTGATTAAGCCTGAACATTTAAGTAAGATATACTGATGAAACCTGAACATTTAAGTAAGATATACTGATTAAGCCTGAACATTTAAGTAAAATATACTGATAAAACCTGAACATTTAAGTAAGATATTCTGATGAAACCTGAACATTTCAGTAAGATATACTGATTAAGCCTGAACATTTAAGTAAGATATACTGATTAAGCCTGAACATTTAAGTAAAATATACTGATTAAGCCTGAACATTTAAGTAAGATATACTGATTAAGCCTGAATATCTAAGTAAGATATTCTGATGAAACCTGAACATTTCAGTAAGATATAACTGATTAAGCCTGAACATTTAAGTAAGATATACTGATTAAGCCTGAACATTTAAGTAAGATATACTGATTAAGCCTGAACATTTCAGTAAGATATACTGATTAAACCTGAACATTTCAGTAAGATATACTGATTAAGCCTGAACATTTAAGTAAGATATGCTGCTTAAGCCTGAACATTTAAGTAAGATATACTGATGAAACCTGAACATTTAAGTAAGATATACTGATTAAGCCTGAACATTTAAGTAAGATATACTGATTAAGCCTGAACATTTAAGTAAGATATACTGATTAAGCCTGAACATTTCAGTAAGATATACTGATTAAGCCTGAACATTTAAGTAAGATATACTGATGAAACCTGAACATTTACTAATATGTTGGTGTTTGTTACATTTTGTTTGTTTATTTTTGGGTGGTATTTTTTCTATCATATGTAAATGTTACAGGAATAGGAACAGATATTTTGATGCTTAACTTATAATATATTTATCCGTTGAAAGAGGTACCATGAAAGTTTAAAATTAACCGTATACCAGAGAAATTTACGTTTTATGTCAATATTTTTAAGTAACAGTGAGAGTAAGTATTGTGACAATGTTTTATTCTCGCGAGACTAACGAGACCGAGATTATAACGTTATTACGTTGTCTGTTGTTGTTTTTCAGTGAGATGTTGCCAGCAATGCTTAGTGATAGTACCATGACAAAATATGGACTATCTGATGCACATAAGTATGACCCAGCCACCGACGCTACTATTATACAAGCATTCGCAATTGCTTACAGGTAAATTAGAATTCAAACCTTACCCCGCTAAAATCGAAAGAAATTAGACCTTGCTTTTTACAGTTGGGACTGTCCAAGATTACAGGGACAGATCTGACTGCATATTCGTGCTGTTTGACCAGGCCCTAGAATATTGTCGTTCAATATTTATATTTTGATATTGAAATACCTTCACCTTTAAATGGACTGTTCCAAATTCAAAGCTGGACAAGTCCATTACACAATGCTGATTTCTTGTTAAGGTGTTATCATCATCATTTTTATTACGTATTTTTTTTTTTTTTTGAATTTCTTACTCTTATTTTACAAGTTTTTGATGACATAAGCTTTTAATCGATCATTTCAAGCAATCAAAGTAACAAACAAATAAATAAACATATATGCTCCTTTTGAATATCATATCAAATATTTTTTTAAGACATATGCACTTTCATTAATTTGATGAATATATGTATGTTAATTGTACGATGCAGATTTCACAACTTGATGCCAGCGAAGTTTCATTTTGCCATGGAAACCGAATCGTCTGCAACTACCACTGATGTCAAGAATCAAGAAGATGTTTTCCACGATCCATCTAATGTATTTAACAACAGATACCATGGTGTGGACGAAATATCCCTTGGATTTTCACTGAATAAATGCCCCTATGTAAACGGGTAATAAAATGGTTATGAATTGAACTTTATCCTACGTATCTTTTATGGCAACTGTTACGCTTTCCAACAAAAAACAAAACAAAAACAAAACAAAAGAAACAACATTGAATTCACGGAAATTGTATACATTGTATAATGTTTCTGAAGATGTTTGTAACATATGTTCATTTAAAAAATCTTTAAAGAATAATATAAACATATGAAATGTCTGCGCTATACTTAAGCACAGCAGTGACCTATATCTATTATAATTATGTTTGAATATTTGATTTGCTCATGTTTTTATAAATTATACAAATTGAATATTATTTTAAATAGATTAAAATTGAAATTGAATATTTTTAACGTCGAAAAAAAGATATATTTATTTTTTATCATTTCGTCCCAGCATGATGAATGGTGCCTCAAGAAACAAATTTCCTGGAGCGGTAGATCTAGCAGCCCTAGATATTGAGAGAGGGCGAGAGTGGGGCACGCCGTCTTACACACAATTCAGGTCCTTTTGTGATCTTGGAGACGCCAGAGAATGGTCTGATCTGTTGAGTACACATGACCAGGGTGATATTGACAAGCTAAAATCAGTTTATGCGTAAGTATCCGTATACATGTATAATATTAGTGGAAATATTTATTCATAAAACATATTCGTAAAATAATTTATTTTGACTTGGTCAAACACATAATCAAACATTTTGGTATAGCATTTCCAATGCATTTTTACTATTTTTAGCATGTTTAAGGACTTTTCTTCACTTCAATTTATCTCTCTTCTGATAGCCGTAAGTCTTTAAATTGAACTGATATGGTCAGTATCAATCAATTTATATGTAATAATGATGTTTAAGTTAGGTTTTACGAGAACACAAACAAAATAATTTTACATCACTGGCCACACATTGCTGTGGTTTCGAAACCCGTCAGGTTTTTAATGTCCAGGAAGCTACCCAACTAGTTAACGGAAGGTCGGCGGTGCTACACATGTGCCCGCTCGTGCCTGAAATAATGCCCAACAAAGCAAACAGACAAAAAGCGCCACAAGTCTTTTTTCAGAGACCCACGTGACATAGATTTATGGACAGGTATTGTTACTGAAAAAGTAATCGGAACTTCACTATCCGGAGCAACCCAATCCTGTTTGATAGGCAAACAATTTGCAAACATCAGAAATGGCGACAGATTCTGGTACGAATCAAGGCTTTCAAAAGGTCAGTACAAACGGTCAAAACACTTTCAATACAACACAATGCAGTGCAATACAGTGTAGTGCAGTGCAGTACAAGACAAGGCAAGACGAAACAATACAATACAATATTACAAAACAATGCAATACAATGCAATGTAATGCAATACAAAACAATACAATATATTGCCACGTATTACAATACAATATATAACAATGCAATACAGTACACAATGCGCAAGACATACTTCGATACGATATGATACAAAATAGTACAATATCGTATACTACAATACAATAAAAGAGAATGCAATACTATAAGGATCTTACACCGGCTGCCGGTACAGATCGGAATATCTAGCTCGAAGGGCGGTAACGAGGCATTACCGATTGTCATTGCAAAATGACAACAAACCATGGAAGAAATATATATAAATGATCTTGGTGATTGTGAGATACATGATCCAATACTACATATCTATATACATAGGACAATAAAATATTCTTGGACAACATATTTATATTAATATTTTCATCATATAAATGTTCATAATAATTTGCTTTAAACTCTATAAACATTTTTTTTCTGGATTATATTGTATACTGTAGGGATATCAAAATGATACATTTCTATTGTTTTGATCAATATTTGAAATACTTATAAAAAGAATGTGCCCATTGTAGACAAATCCACTTTAAGGGTGATATAAAACTTCCCGATATATTGACTTTTGTCAATGGATGTCACAATCGTTATTTCATTGCATTGTAGACCAATTAGCAGAGATTAAAAAGGTATCTTTGGGAAAGATCTTATGTGACAACTTGAAGGTAACAAAAATGCCAGAAAATGTCTTCAATACAGGATCAACATGGTGAGACGATATTTTATAATTTTATTTTTAAAGAGACATAAGTAAGTTAACTACGGTCCATTAACCCGGATTGTGGATTTTTATTTGTGTTTTATGTCGCACCAACACAGTAAAAGGCAGATGGCGACAATCAAGCTTTACTGGTGGAGGAAGACCATAGGTTGTTGGTGTTGGTAGTTTACTCTTGGTACCTCGGTAGTAAGCCGCTTTTAGTTCACCAGAGCCCAGTTTAGCCACCACATCGCTGCTGGGCAGGTTGTCAAGCAATTTATCGGTACTAGTGCCTTCATTTCCGCAAAGAGCTGATAACTTCTGTACATGCCAGAGCAAATGTATTTGATCAATCACAACGAAAATGGCCTGTACCGTCGGGGAATCGAACCCGCACCTGAGTAAAACCACCGACAAAGCCACGTAACTAATGGACAAAGAGAAACATTCTAAATATAACCGCGATTTGTAAGGGTCTTTGAAAAGATAAATTTCAATAATGACTGCTGATAGAGTTTCTTCTAACTAATTGCATCAACTTTTATTCTGTTGTTGTTGTTTTGGTTGTTATTAATTTATTTACTCTGTGTGTAGTCAGAGATTTTCTGTACAATATAAATTTTCGGAGCAAGTCGGCTCGGTCTGTACTTCACACAATGTTGAAAGCAGCGGAGTGTTATACTTATTATTTAGAATAAAAATACATTTTTAAATCGGAGTTTTTCATGCGCTGTGTGAAAGTCGCAAGGGTTTACCAGATTTATACCGGAAGTTTATATACATGTATATTCCATGCCGAAATTTAAACCCGATTTTGGTTTTCATTGACAATTCTAAATTATTACTTTTCTTTTTCCGCTTTTAATATTTTCATTAGGAATCCTGTATAATATTTTTGCATGTACCGTGTCCAGTTGTACATATTGTATTTAAAATCAAACCATCCAAAATAGTCTGCGCAAAAGATTTTGCTAGAGTTATATTGACTTTTTATACGTGTATTATGACGTGTTTAAGTCAAATTTATTCCTGAGTTATTGAGAATTCATGTTACTTATGAATAAATTCATGTCGCTTATAAATATACAGTTAAGGTTAAATTAACCCTACCCCTCCCACCAAAAAACATACACTTAGATGTTAATAATTGTATATTTTCTTTTCATCTTTTAGGCTTAATTGCAGTTCGTTTCCAGAAGTTGATCTAAACTTGTGGTAAAGAATGAGGGAAAAAGCAAACAAGCAAACAACGATTTTCTCCCAGAAACTCTCTCTAACTGTGTCTGTTAAAAAGTTTGAAACAGGAATATCTTCTTTTTTCCCCTGTTGTTATATTCAAAGCACATTTTAGGTTTTATTTGGTATTATCGATACGCAATGTAAAATTGCAATACTGAGCTTTACTATTATCTTATTAACTATTATCAGTTCTAGGTAGGCTCTTTTTAAAGACTCATTATGCATCATAAATGAATATTTGTTACCTTCTTTAGAAAGGGCACACATTGTTTTTTTACATTTAAATAATGATTTAAGAGCACGTTAGATGCTTTTCACCTGAAGAAATGAAGAAAGTTGCAACGAATGTTGAATGTGGATATAGTTAATATAACAGTAACAAAATAACAAAGTACTATTTTCATTTCCACACAAATACTAAATCACTATAAGGGTATTAATTGCTAAAAGGCAACAGAACCAAAGATGATTCACTTAATTTATCAAGAAGAAACTTTTTTTGACACTATAACATAACAATAAAATAAATGCTTTTGAGGAATAAAAATAATAACATTTTTGGAGCATAATGGGTCTTTAATAATGTAAATCGGGATAGTAAAATGGCAAAACTGACTACTCAATATATTTTGGCATAACCTCGGCATTTATTCTAATTTTTCATTAAACTTTTGTTAAAGCTTATAATTAAGATTATTTGAAGATAAAATAAACATATGAACTCTAAAATATTCTTATTATTAATTGAATTTTCATTTCGATATAGAATATTGTAATCGCAGCGTGTCTGTTTGTTTTTAATATACATGTACATTTGTATATATGTGAGTAGTGTTAGGGTTACATTTATTTCACACCTTATGAAATGTAATCAATGCATTTTCAGCATTTGCATCACGTGATGTCATAATAGAAATCAATATTGGATCCAATCTTATCAATTTAGCCTTTTTTCTAGAGTCCACAAAGTCCATATCAAATCCATATTACACCCCTTATTATTCTCATTTTCATTTCCTGAGTCCAAAAGGTTCATATCTTTTCCATATCGCCCCTTCCCCCCCCCCATCTAGCCTTGTTTTTATTTTTGGAGAGTCAAAAATCTTTATCAAATTCCAATTGCAATTGAAGCTACAAAGTTCTGACAAAATGGCAAAAAGAGTGACGTGAAATAAAGAGGTCATTAAACATGGTTGAGAACAATACTGATTCTATTGGACTTGTACATAGGTGCAAAACCTATATCGAGCTCGGCTACCTCCTCGTCCAATATAGTTTTAACAGTACTCAACAATGCATAATAACCCCATAGTACTGTATTCCCTAATATACCACTGTCATAACAAATACTCCTCTTTTTATATGTAGTAGAAAAAATCTAAAACAAACTGTCTTGAGTTAGCTTGTACAACATAAAACTTTATGAGGCTCGGAGAAACAGCCTCACTTTTTTACACTTCCCTATATCTGTTTAATTAATATACATGTATATCTTAATTGAATAATATCGACACATCTGCGGATGTTTATAATTTCCGAATTTCACCATTTTCATGCTTAAATATTGAATTCCGCTAAACCCGGCGCTAGGGTGCGTGGACGGTAGCTTGTATTTTCCGCTTCTGTCCATGAATAGGCTTAGTTAATTCGAGTCTACAACAATTATCAATTTTGCCGTTTGTTACATTCTTTAAGGTTTTTCCATTTTTGACAATTTGACAGGTCGTGTAATATCATTTTCACAATATCGTTCTTAATCGTGTCTATTTATCTATTTATTTTTGAATTCCTTTATCTTCGGAATTAATGTCTGTATAGAAATCATTTGAGTTGACATATCTATTGAATATAAATGTTTCCAGTCATGGTCAGTAAAAACAAACGGGTTTTGCAAACCTTCTGTTCGTTTGCTCTTCCATAATTTACAGCCGCGATTCACAATGTCATTTCCATTGTTATTTCTATAACATAAACTTTGAAAGAAACTCGTTTGTCCAGGGTCGTACGCACTCATAAAATATTGTGTATTGGCTACAAAAAGTGCGTCATTATGCTCGTTTGAGGGAACATTATTGTAAAAATACGGTGTATTACTCCAACTTGATGGTTTTGGCTTGATGTCCTTATATTGCAGACTCTTTATATATTTGTTGAATTGAGGTGTCAAGAATAATGGACCGGTACTTTTAATGACGTCACTTAAATATGCTGATTTTGGAAGTGCTTCAATTAATTGTTTGAAGAAAGGGTGTTTTGGCCTGCACAGCATTAAAGCGGTACTTAAAATATATGGCATTTTATAGAGCATTGCACTGTGCTCGAAAGGTTCCGGTGTTAGAATGCAAGAATATTTTATTGTAGCACGGTCAAGGGGACGCAAACATTTAATGTCAAGGTCGACATAAACTCCCCCAAATTCATATAACAAAACGTATCGAAATGCGTCTGCTTTCATAATAACACGCGAGTAGTTATCAAATGTTGAAAGTAGTTCCGGATGCCGGGATGCAATTAAGTCACGTGCTGATACATCAGACCAAAAATAGTACGTCCAATTAGGATTAGAATTATAGAATGACAAAACATTGTCTTTGAATATACTAGGAATCCCATGTTTTTCTTTTATACCAGTTATAAAAATAAAATGAATAATGTGAGTAATTCTGGGACTTTGCGATTCAATTGTTGGAAAATCTTCTTCCACAAGAGGTTCAAATGCGTCGGCATCATGTGTAATATTTTGATTATCGGCCGTCGCCGACAGAAAGTCATTTTCTGTTAAACGGTTTTCAGGTCGGATTGACACCGGTAGGACAAGTTTCTTTTCTTTGTTAAGAAAAAATGATGATATGACTTTCAATGAGTGTTTCTTCTGTTTTGAAAGCGCATCTGAAAAATAAATGCATCGGGGAAAAATTGGAAAGTAATATAAAATATGTAGCTATAACAAAGTGTCAGCAATATTTCTTGAAAATGAATATCCATTTTGTTTCCAAATATCTTGGTACCAATAGAAAGTACCAAAAAATTTTTGATAATAATTAATTACATCCGTAATTGCGTAATATTTTACATAAATTACTAACAGGTTAGTGTTGTCATCTATATCCTAGTACTATTACTTCAAAATTCTTCAAATAGTCTATATTTCTTTTGGAGTAAAGCTTTTACAGTTAAAGAAAACAAGCTGATATAAAGTTATCATCAGTACATTATGAAGTACTATTCGGAACACCTTGTCGATTACCTATTGTGTAGGGCCGAAACAATTCGATTTACTTGTAAGTACACTACAGTAGTACGTGTTAATATTTCCCGTACAGTATTTGCTGTATAATCATATGTTTATTTTAAATATTATCTAATACTGTCATGGGCATGTACATAATAATGTTCCCGCCACTCAAAACAGCTGGCATATTCAGTGGATCGGTAAAAAATATATGTGAATTTCTGCTGATCCAGATGTGCGCTTAAAGGAGAAAATAGGTCAATCACAGCGTAAGTTGTTAACTTTTTAAACATTGATATAAAATTCAAAGCTTTATGATCGAAATGTGATTCTACCCTCCTGACTTTCTTTTATAATTACCCATTTTGTTCCGGATTTAATGCAGTCTTCGTCGAGATAATCTTTCCGTTGTGGGTGTAGATGTGCTCAAAACATGCTATGCATATGAAGAAAATGTCGCTTAACGGACTCTGAATACAGTTTTTACAAAATCGTACCACCAAATGATGCTTAACATTCAATCAAACCCTTATTGAAACATTTATTGAGATTTGGCTCTAAATAAAGAAATTGACGGTCAAAATTTCATCTGAGCTCCATGTGTGATGAAGAGATCCATAGGTGCATGATATAAATCACCAATATAATAACGGATCTTTTCCTTAAAAGAATCAATATTTTGTGTATCATTCTGTTATAAAAACTTATATTCGAAATAGAGAGATTGTCCCAAGTCGAGCTTTAATAACATCATCATTAAAAAAGATAAACGACATTTAGCATTCTAAAAGCATTGATTATAGCTATGTTTGAAAGTCAATGTCTCTTTCAATCGTACGCGTATGGTAGCTTCTATATTTTCACTTACTCCGATAACGTTTAAAAATGAGGTTTGAGGACTTATTACATTGATTATTTTCGAATTATTCCACTCCTTAGTACAGTATTAATATTTGGAATTGATCGTTTTCTATATCATGGATCTCTTCATCACATACGAAGCTCGACTGGAATTTTGACCAGCAATTCCTTCATTTTTGGCCCAATCTCAATGAATGTTTCAATTAGGGTTTGTTTAAATGTTTAGCATCGTTCGGTGGAAAAATTTTGTGAAAAATGTATTTGCGTCCGTTTAGCGACAGTTTCTTCATACGCATTGCATGTTTTGGGCACACCAGAACCCCAGACGGAAATAATATCTCCACGAAAACTGCATAAAAATGCGGAACAAAAAAGTGTTTATTATAAAGGAAAGTCAGGAGGGTAGAATCACATTTCGATTTTTTCTTTTAAAAAAAGCTTTGAATTTTATATAAATATTTAAAAAGTAAAAACTTACCCTGTGATTGACCTATTTTCTCCTTCACATATCAAGTTATAGCGCACATCTAGATGAGCGGAAATTCACATATATTCTATCGATGCTCAATTTTGATATCCATATAGGGTTCCAACCCCGTGTAAACGATAGAACAAGGCGCAAGCGTATGTATCAAGTGCACGGTCTTACTTGCGAAATAGTACACAACACAGTAGGTCTCATAGCTTTACAGTGACTGATAAGTCAGCCCTCAAACATTTAAGGACCAAAGGTCTAACTTGGGCGTCACTATAATGCTATGCAGTCCTAAGTATTGTGTTCTTTTTCTTATATTATACCGAACTTTACTAAAACAAACTGGTGAAAGTATGAAAACTTTTGGCATTCAGCTTGTATAATGCGCGTTTTGTAAAATTTTCCTCGCGATTGTTTGAGTTAAGGCGGTCAATTTTCTTTTTGTCGGACCAATGACGTCATTGTGAATATTAAACAATTTTAAGGCCCGTTGGCACTTATATAAATAAAAAGGAGGTTATTTATGTAAAATATAATATTAGTAAATGGACCCATAATATTCAAAAAAATCTTTGTCCACGGATCAATAATGCATGTATGTAGGTAGTGATAAACACAAAATCGCGTTAGCCATGATGTTAAATTTTGACACACATATTAGTTATAATCACGAACGCCATTCTTAAAAGCAAGAACAACATTGGTACTTATCATTCTATTTATATAGTAAAGCATTGACCGTGTATTTCATTTTAGTATCTTTTCTTAGAGTAGCGAGTTCATGCACTTCTTTTCGTGCATTAACATCTGCAAGAGTCAATCCCCTGTCTGTATCTGCAGACATTAATGCACGAAAAAAGGGGTGTATTAGCGCTATTCTTGTAATTTGGTAATTCTGCTTTCGAATATGGAAACCATTTGGTACGCTTTCTTCGAACTAGTGCGGCCTAATTTGACAGATATGTTTTGATAATGAAACTATAACGGGGCCGTATTTTCGCATTCCACTGTCAGGCACATTCACAATAAATAAATGAATAATTCTATGTAAGAATGATACTTACTGATTATAGAATTATCATTATTCCATAATACAAACAATAAACACGCAATGCCAGAGGCAAAGAATGTCAATTTCCCACGAAAAGACGCCATCTTAAGCTTAACAAGTTGAGTATTACGAATATTATATAACATTTTATATAGTCTTTATTTTACAACGGTTAACACAGTTAATGACAAATTGAATGCTAATTTGTTAAAATAAATTAACACGAAAAGTATTGAGAAATAGTAACAGATTGAACAACTTAGGCAGCAGATTGAAACGTTAAGTAGAGGATATAGAATACGTGTAAATTTAATATTAAATTTATCGAACGTGTTGAATAAAATCATATTATGCAGCCTCTGGTAACGACAGCTAGATGTTCACGATAAGATGCACACTGCTTAATTATTGATAGTTTCAATTTAATATATAGGAATCATTTCTGAAGTACTCCGGAAGAACATACAGACACGCGTGCAATTTTGCATTTAATCTGCTGAAGCAAATTTAACGGGAAATAATGGTGATTAAATTAAAAAGAGTTTGTTATAATAAAGCTTAATACGACCCATTTTCAAGTATGTTTGGGTTATGTTATGCAGATGATTGATATATTGTCAAATGTAGGACTCATTTTGGGGTTAATCACTTTAATAATAAAATAGACACAAATAACTTGTGATCAAGGTTCTACAGAAAGTTTCGGCACAAAACGAAGCGACCTATTTTGGAAAAAAAACTTAAAACATACATTATTATTTATTGTACGTGAGAAATTTAACACGAATTTTTCCAATTTCAAAAAAATATTTCAGTGAAGAGTCGAACATTACGAGGGATGTTCGAAATGTATTGCTTATTTCTATCTGGAGACTTAAAATTTCAAGATAGCTCAAAAGTGTTCATTTCATGCCCTCTAAGTACTCGCCGTGGCTAGAAATGCAAAGTTTCAGCCGATGTATCCACTTCTTGAAGGCGTCACGGTACGCTGATTTTGGCACAGTAATAAGGTACTGATGAATGGCAGATTCAAGTGCCTGTCGGGACTTGTATTTCCGCCCAGCAAGGAAGGATTTCAATTTCGGAAACAAAAAGAAATCACATGGGGCAAGGTCTGGAGAATACGGGGGGTGAGGCAAAACAGTTACTTTTTCTTTTTTCAAAAACGCCGAAACTATTGCGGAGGTATGAGCGGGGGCATTGTCATGTAGAAGACGGATATGCTTAAAACCAGTGACAGGGTGTCGTTTCGTATAATACTTTTTCAGTTTCTTAAGTACTACGTCTTTGTAGTACTTCCCAGTGATACTTTTCACCGGCACTTTTATTGCGACTCCTTCACCAGAGAAGAAAATTGCATACAAAACCTTCTTGCACTCAAAGACCGTTCGGCAATTATTGGGTGTTTGTTGTGTTTAGTTGCTAACTTTTCTGACGGGCTCAAAATAATGAACCCAAGTTTCATCACCTGTGACGACATTGGCAAACTGTTTTTGTCATATTTTGGAAGCATTTGAAGCAACTTTTTGGCCACCTTAACTCGTTGCCTCTTTTGCTCATCGGTCAACAGATGTGGCACCCATCTAGCACAAATCGTTTTGACTTTCAAAATGCTTCTTAAAAATAAAATGACACGTTGATAGTGATATGCCTAACTTTCGGAAACGATTTCGTTACGAGATGCGGATTTTGGCCTACCTGATTTTGGTGCATTTTTTATGCACTCTACACCAGACTCAAATTTCTTTTTTCATCGCCTGTGTCACAAGACACACAAGAAGGCCCATAAGCAGGAGAGAGTTCAGTCATCAACTGCTTTAAAGAGCAACCCAGTTTTGAGCCAGCCTTGATGTAAGCCCGTATTTCATCTTTTTTGTCGACGCTTCTACCAAACATTTTTACTACAGTGGTCAATGACTGCGTGTATTTAATGGCAAATTGTATGTCTTACACTTAGTCTAACATGTACATTTATACGCCGTTGTGTAGGTATTGAATTACCCTACACAGGTATGATTTGGTTTATATCGTGTCCTATGTGGATCACGAGATAGAGGACTAATTCTTTTCGAACAGCCCTCGTAATATTCATTTACGTTTGATTGTGTAAAAACCGTTGCCGGTGTAGCTAATTTAACCATTCTTGAGTCATATTAATGGTTTATTAATGGGAAAAACCACTATCCTGTGGTTTAGAGGCTGACATCTGGACCATTATGTCAATTTCTCACTGGATATATGTTTTCAAAACAACGCAACAAGCTTAAGTTAACTTGAATAATCTTATCTCGGGTATCCATATTTCGCAAGACAATTATATAAAAAAAAAACACGGACACCGAACAATAGTATGATTTATGTAGGTATGTTTTACTTTCCTGTGGATATTTGATGCCTCCATCACACACTGTGTTTTAACCAAAGAATTCTATGTAGAAGGCATTACATGAATTAAATCTAAGATACCACAGTGACAATCCATCATATTTTTAAATAGATACTAACATTACGTTGTATTAGTCATTTCAGACCCCTATTGATTTTGGGTTAAATAGGTCAAAAGTCAAGGTGACAGGGTTCTTGAATGTAAGTATTGTTTCCGCTCATTATCTTGAAAGCTATTTATCACAAAGTCTTCATATTTCTAATACATTTGTATTGATTGGTCATAACTATTAGATGACCCTATCGATTTTTGGTCACTAGTTCAAAGGTCTAGGTCACAGGGGCCTCAATTGTGTCTCATTATCTTATTTTTCTTTTTTCCATCATTGAACACTTCCATGTACTCATTTATTGCAAGTTTCTATAACAAAATTACAAATTATGTGAGACAAGGGCCAGAAAGAAAGCATATGTGTCATTCGACATTTCTTGTTACATTAGGGGTGCAAAAAGTTTCTAAATGCTTCATCTCCACACATACAATAATTATTGCGATCATTGATTGGATTCAATATGAAAAATTAAAAAAAAATCAATAAAAAACATTTTACAATAATGCACACAGACGCGAAAACATTTCTTTTCGTGTTATAACAATCCAATTTAAATAAATATACAATAGTTTACAATGAAATGACTTAAACCGTTGTTTGTCAAAGGATAAAAGTCTGACACAGTTGCAGGGGCATAACTTGGTCTAAATTCATCGAAAGAACGACATCTATAGTGGCGTTTATTAGGGCATGTAGGGGCGTACACCACAATGATTATTTTTTTGGCCTGAATTTTCAGATGAGCATTTTGAAGTATATCTACGTTTAGTACAATTAATATGTGACGATGATTTTTAGAACATTTTCAAGTAGAAAAATTATGTTCTTTTTAAAAAAAGTGTTGGCCCGCCCTGCACGGTCTATAGAAAGCTACGTCACTGAGTTGTGTTGTATTTTTATCAGCATTGAAACGATGTGACTTTTCAACAAATTTTCTTGCATATCAGACTGGCGTTTCCGTTAGTTTTACCCATGCCGGAAATTTCATCTGGCATGGGGGGTTCCAGATGAGTCGCGTGCTGTACAATGGCACGATAAAGATGACGTCATTTTACCGTTATGAATGATTTTGTAATTCATACGCTGTTGAATGAAAGTAGTTACGGTTGTAATGATATAAATTTTCATTGAAAATAAAGATAAAGAATTTAAAATATAATGGAATATGGTAGAATATGCAAGAAAAAATATCTGACATATGTTTGCGGTTTGGATCGGAATATCCGTCCCTCGGTCACCCGCCCATGGGCGGTAACTCGGCAAGCCTCGTTACCGCCCAATGGGCGGGTCACCTCGGGACGGATATTCCGATCCGAACCGCAAAATATGACAGATATTATTAAGGTTGTATCGGCTTTCCATACGATGTGCCTTGTTTCTTTTCAACAAATTTAGGTCATATCGGTTTTCTATAGCTTTAATTTTGATGTTGTAATAACACTATCTATTCGAACCATCCGTGTTGAGTTACGAAAGGAATAAACATGTGCCCAGTTGTGGTCAGTGTATGAATATACGTTTTTAGTCTTAATTGATTTTCTCTGAAGCCAAAGAATGCATCCTCGTTGCACAATCTGTATGTTAGCACCAAAACACATGCTATCGAAATCTACACGTTTGTCAAAATTGTTCATGAAGTATTTTGTGTTTGCTACATATACAGCATTAATATGGTCCTCTCGTAGAGACCCTTTATAAAAGTATGGAGAGTTACTTTCGAATTGAGTCTTTACTCTGTGCTCATCTCTATGCGTCAATTTATTATAACGTTTAAACATGAATGTTAAAAACGTGGGCCCTGCTTTCCCTGATGGACTAGGTCTTGTGGCAAATTTTGATAGAGAGAGTATTGCTACTTTCATGAACGGATGTTTTGGCCGGCACATCATAAAAGCAGTGCTAAGTAAATATGGCATTTTGTAAATGATTGCACTGTGCACGAATGGTTCAGGTGTAAGTATGCAAGAATATTTAATAGTTGCCCTGTCTAATGGTCGTAAACATTTCATATCTAGGTCGGCATAAACACCCCCGAATTCATAAAGCAACACATAACGTAAAGCATCCGCTTTGTTGATAACGAGCGGATAATTGTCCCAAGTTTCCAGCAACGATGGGTGCTTTGTTGCTATGAGCTGCCGAGCTGAAATGTTCGTCCAAAAATAGTATGTCCAACTAGGATTGAAATGGAAGAATGAATTAACATTTGCTTTAAACATTTCTGGTAAATCATTTTTGCTTTCTATAGAAGATATGAAAATAAAATGAATTATATGAGGTATCCTATGGTGAGTTTCTGAACCGCCTGTTTGAAAGTCTTGGTCAACGTTTGGTTCAAACTCCGTGTCATGAATGCTGTATCTTATTCTATTCTTTTGATATGTGACCTCATTTTCATCGTCGTGAGCGGTTGGTAATTCTTCTGCCTCTGAAGCTGCAAGAAATGTGCACATCTTCATTTTCACAACAATTGAAGACATATAACTATCATATAATTATCAACACAAAAAAGGAAAATACAATGTAAATGTAATTCTCGAAACTATAAGTAAATGTATTTATATAAATGAAAGAGATTATCAAAGTGCATTCACAAAGTAGATGTGCACGGTAGTCCTGACGGGAAGGTACTACTCTGTATTTCCTGCCCCTGTTATTACGTTATCGCTATAAAAATCACAGAATAGTAGACAGGGAACCAGGCTAGGGAAGATGTCTGACTCTCTTGGACCAACACCATGGTTCCTGATACCAGTACCGGTTAGTTCCACGAAGCGAATACAAGAATGATTCGAAAAAAAGCTACCTTAAAAACCCTTAACCTGGCGATTTTTTTACCATGTTGCTCCCTGCTTTAAACACCAATACAGATTTCGATATCAAAATTCAAAAATATGAGGTAGCCCTATACTATTTCGTACAACTCTATTCTCGCTTATCTGGCTAATGAAGGCTAATTGCTGCTGGTTCCAGCAGGCAAAGAATTTAATAATTAAAGAACAATTACACGCCCTTTCGACAACGTTAAACACCAGTTACATGTTATTTTACTTCAGTAATATCTTTTTTGTCCATAGAACAGTATAGGTCATATGGCAGCTTTCCAACTGGTGGAGGAAGACCTCAGGTGCCCTTCCTTTCAGGCACAAACGGGCACCTCAGTGTAGATCTACCTCCTTTCTAGCTAGATAGCCTCCTTACATGGAAGAAACCAAAGTCCCTTGTGGGATAATCATCGCTGATGGTATTATTATGTATTTTTATCAGCAACCTAAACTCTGTATGACAAAATAAACATACAATACTAGAATTTTTATGTACATCAGATATTCTAGCTATTGTCATTTGATATGAACGTTCAATGGAATGTAATGATCAATATGAAATGAGGGCAATAACTTTTAGTCACTACACATCAAACATTATAAACTATTGAATTATTAATGGAACTTATATTGACTTACCGACAATTTATGAACATTGATTTACAAATAAACAGTTTGAAATTGTATTGTAGTAAACAAATTGGTAAAAGCCATCAAAAAACTTTGAGAAACTTGTACGGCCGCTATATTCACATTATTCTTTGATTTATACACATTATACTTTAAAGCTCACTTCACCATATAAATATATATCAACAAAGCAGGAATGTGAAAATAACGCATATGGTCGGAATTAGCAACACGGCAAGTAACAGGCCAATACATCTTACAGGAAACAATTTGAAAGCAATAGACTGTCGTATGCGCTTATTTGTTCGATTCAGTTTGATTTTTATAAATATTGGTCAGTTTTGTTAACGTGTTGCTCGACAGATTCGGAGTTACTGTTGCCCAACTCCCGCTTTATTCTCATAATGTATTATCATGGATAATTGTCAAACACATCAATGCGGCGTGATTCACCAGAGCTCAATCCGTAACGTACAGGAAAACTGTGTTTAGCTAGGTTTTAGAAAAGGTCGTACGGTTTACAGATCACATGCTCCTCTATGTACGTACTCCTCCATGCTTTAAAATCGTACGCACTCCAGCCCACAGGGAACAAGATACATTTACTGCTCTTATTCAATTTTTATCTCAACCGGCACATGTTTACTCTGAACAAACAACACAAACAAAACCGCATTTTAGAACATTGCATGTACATGTATATACATTAAGATGTTGGTCGTATCTTACCTGTAAGTCCAGGTGTACTCATCAATATGCATACCGACAACACCGCAGACGTCATTATAAGAAACAATACTGCATTTTTCCGTTTTATATACTTAAACACCCTCTGCAATATCTGTTCTGATGGACAGGACCTCTGTAAACAAAAGCATAATAAATCCATGAATTTAAAAGAACTGGAGGAAGGCGATTTGTTAAATTTGAAAAAAAAAGTTTTATATAATTTCACTATTTGAAACATTTTTATATGTTTGCTAATTGTGTTCAACTAATATTACTTAAATACTTAAATGGCATGGACCTATACAGTTTCGTGTATACATGGACATTGTCTTTCTTGGGTCTTTTGGACGCAATATCGCCTTCAAGACACTGCATATCCACGTGTTTCATAGAATCATAATTTTCAATCTTTGTTAAATATGTTTTTATATTAATTTATATTCCAGAGCAATAACACATGTATTTCACAAAAGTTAACAGAACAGTTTTCGTTACTTCTCTTTGGTACTTTTTTAACAGATTAAAAATATCAAATTAGAATCAAAGTTTTCCTCAATTCTTTTTTTATGTAAATAGTACAATGTCTATGCGTCCTTTATCCTTCCGTCCATATGCATCTGTATTATAAGTCAACATGAAATGTTATGTACAAAAACGTACTGAATAAAAAAGACAAACATGCTATATTATGACAAAATATATATTTTACTATAATCAGAAAATATTAAAATGGTTTTATTACCTGCACCATGATCAATGAATTTATGTATTTATGTCATAACAAAAATTGTTGTATATTCGTCCATATAATAATCTTATAAAATTCCTTTCCCGTTTCTCTTATCAAACATTAACAACATACAATTGAACGATACTATAAAAGAGATAATCGATTTGCATGCCTGAAAGCCTCTATACTTCTTGTTGAAATTATTATCGAGAACAATTACAGCTTTCATACAAAAGTCATTGAATGACCCCAAGAGACCTGAATTGCCATGAAAGTTAACATTAGAAGTGCGAACAAAGCAAAGTCAGTAGAAAGAGTTAAAATCTGTATTTGTATTATCGTTATCAAAAGAAACGTTAATACGTGACGGGAAATTTCATTAATCCAGGTTTTCCAAGCATAAAACCATTCCAAAATACAGAAGACAAAGTTATGTGAGAGTTAAGTTGAATTTCTATGGGAAATGTGGCACGCAGACTCGTATTTCTTCATATATTACATTTATGAAAAACACAAAGGATATTATTATTGTCACAAAACCTTTGACAATACGCTCCTTGGAACTTAATAACAATTACATGTATATGTCTGTTAGTTCGTTTGAAACCCTTTAAGAAATAAAATACTATTGGTAAAACTATTGGCGTTTCTTCCATGGATTTCAACACACTTTTTAGTAGGGATGTACTTTAAAAAATAAAGGCCCCATTATGCCCAAGAAATGCTCTTATTTCTAAATATCTTTTCATTTTTTTTGTGTGTCCTGTTTTTTTTAAAAGTTACTCATTGGCTAATAACTTAAACAATCTTGTTCTTTGTTCTTTTTGGCAATTAGTACTATTTTAATGATTTAGTGTTTTGTATGGAAGTCAAAATACTACTGTGTTTACCTTTTGCTATTTTTATGACATCAAATAATTTCATATTCAGGGCTACTTTTTCAGATGAAAATCATCTAACATGCTCTAAAACTTTTCTTTTAACATGATAAAACTTATGTTTGCCCTTTCTAAAGAATGAAAGATTCTTTCGTTTCTGAGGCACAATATGCCTTTAAAGTATTCCGTTGTATTCTGATAAGTGGGGACGAACTTCAAGTTATAGCAATGTATCTTATTTCACTGTTCTACAGTTCGACCCCAATTTATGGAACACCAAAAGAAGCATTTGAACTTTAAAAATTTTGAAACAAAGATCCCTTCCCGAACACTCCCTAAAAGTTTTTTAAAATAAATTTCCCAATGATTTCCTATAAATCTTTAAACCGTAAGGGCCCCCAAAACTTTAAAATTTTAAGGGGGGCGGTTTGGCCCAGGGGCTTAAGGTTTTCAGCCCCCAGGGGTCATAGGTTTTGAGTCCTAATCGGGTCAAGACCATGTTTCTTTATATGGCACCAGTACTGGTTGGTTCCTGGGAGCGGACTCGAATGTGATTTACATAAGGTGCAAAACTTGTTTCGCAGTCGAGCTTAAATAAATATGTTTAAACCAATTTAAATATTAACAAAATACACACTATCATTTACAGTTATGGTCTATTGTTTCCAATGAATTATTCTATTATTATTAGTGCAGCGTGTGTTAAGCCGATGGAAAATTATGGTGACTTATTTGTTTCAGTTTAAAGAATGATCCTCATTGTCTTGGCTTTGAGAAGTAATCGCAGTTTCTGTTTGTTTGCATGTAAGATCGAAATAATTTTTCTCTGAATGAACACCGGATAGAGATATAATAGCTGGTGTTCACGAGTGAAATATATTTCTCTATAAAAGTCGAGTTAGACATGCTGGACCCTTTATACACGCCCAATACTAAACTGAATTGAAATATTACAATTCAATAACTTTCTAGCATAGTAATGCAAGCGAAATCAAGATCTACATCCGGTTATGATATGATAATTAAATTTCCTAGCATGATAGTGGTCTTTCAGCAATTATTTCAACTAATTATGGATACTGGAACCCTGGAGAAAATCAATAATCTGTCCAATTTTGAAAGACTCAAATACTGACGCACGATTACCTATGAATTATAGAGGGGTCAGTCTTCTATCATGCATAGCAAGTTATATAGTGAATTCATTAACAAAAGAACTACGGTTTATTTGAACGAACACGATATTTTAGCCGACGAACAGAATGGATTTAGAGCAGATCGCACATGTGAGGATCACATCTTTACATTAGATAGTATTATAAAAAATAGTACGTCCGTAATGACAGCGTTTATTGACCTCAAGAAATGCTTTGATTTCATCGATAGAGACATGATGCTATATAAACTACTCTTGAATAAAATTGATGGTAAAATATATAACTCAGTGAAAAGTATATACAATTATTCATGCAATTTATCACCGACAATTTTTGCTATCTTCGTTAATTACTTAGTTAGGGAAATCAACGACCTTGACCTAGGAGTCAATGAGGGGACACATCAATATCAATGCTACTATATGCGGACGATAAAGTCTTGATTCCCAATTCTGAAGAAAATCTACAAACAATGTTGAATACAATGCACGACTGGTGCAAACATTGGAGGGTCTTGATTAACTGCGAAACATCCAAGATAATACACTTCCGGAAAGGACGAACGAACCGCAGTGATTATCAGTTCAAAATCGGAGCTAATTATCTTGAAACAGTCGACAAATATAAATACCTTGGTGTTTATTTTCCATTAAAAACACGACTTTAACTACAATTGTGAAACGCTTTCAAAAAGCGCAGGACGGGCTCTTGGCAACCTTATTTCAAAAGTACATGGTCTAAAACATTGTGGATTTAAAACATTTGAAAAATTATATTACTCATGTGTTGTTCCTATTTTGGATTACTGTGCTTCCGTTTGGGGTTTCAAACATTTTCAAGCGGCGGAAAATGTACAACATCGTGCGATTCGTTACTTCTTAGGCGTTCACAGATTTACACCTAAATAAGCACTGTTGGGAGAAACAGGTTGGATACCGTGCGCCTATAGAAGATGGATTTGTATTGTCCGATATTGGAATAGACTGGTTAAATTAAGTGATGATAGGATTACTAAACGCGTGTTTAATATGGATTACGATAACTCAAGCGAAAAAAGTAACTGGTGCAGTGAAGTGAAAACCATTATGTCTAAGTTAGACTTATCCAACCACTTTGACAATAAATAAACAGTGAATATGGATTATATTAAATTGAAAAATTTCGAGTATTATGCAAATATATGGACAATCGACTATGAAAAGGTCTCTAAATTACGGACTTACAAAACATTTAAGTCTCAATATTCAGGTGAAAGCTATTTGTCACTAAATCTTAAAAGAAATGAACGCTCAATCTATGCACAATTTCGGTGTGGTATTCTGCCCTTACGTGTAGAAACCGGAAGATATGTAGGAGAAACGCCAAATCAAAGACAATGTACTTTGTGTCAATCAGGATTAATTGAAGATGAAACTCTTTTCTTAATTGTGTGCCCGCTATATAATGATATAAGATCAATGACATTTAATGACATTATTATAAATGATGTATATAACAACATGAAAAACATGGAAAAATTAGTATTTCTCATTAAAATCACCAGAACAAAATAATAAAATTTCTTGTTAAAGCATATGTGTTAAGGAGAAATTTTCTTTATAATAGGTTATTGACTTTTAACGTACCAATAGTTACAACATGATGATATATTGACTGTCCATTTTCTGAAATGTGATACTGTAATTTACAGATCGAGCAGCAACTTTGATCTCATTTAAATGTTCCATTTTATAAGTTATGTACTGTTCTCAGTTTGTATGTTTGTATATATATAATAAGGTGACTTATAGGTCCAATGGGCCGGGTGTTTTTGTATGTATTCTTATCATGTATGTGAATTGATAAATGCACAATGTCACTATAATAAACAATTTACTTACTTACTTACTTATTTCAATCTTACACGCAAAACAAACAAATTTTCTATTCATTTCATGCCTTTTGCGATTTTAAGTCTGGGTGCAGTGAAAATTATCAAATATAATTTCACTGTGAAAATTAGCAAACATAATTTTATTTTACTTTCCACTGCAAATCACTGGGATTTTCTTAAAAATGTTGAAGAGGTTGAAATTACGTGCACATCAGGATCAGCGGGAATTCATATATTTTTCTATCGATGCTCTCACCGTGGGGTTATAGTACGTGTAGTTAGATAAGCAAAATAACTCCAGTACATATATAACATACCACTTTTCAAATTACTTCCCTTGTGTCGCACAAGAATCTGTCCAATTTTCAATTTTTTTGATATAACCATGCGGTTATTAGACTAAGATTAAGCATATGGCGGTGAGCGGTTGTCTAGTGATTGAGGCGTCTGCCTCTCAACCAAGGAATCATGGGTTCGAGCCCTACTCGGGTCACGACCATGTTTCTTTATATATGACGGTTAGTGTAGGATCAGTGATGACCCACGCTGCAGCATATATTTCCTTTAATCATATTTGGAATGCTGGAAAGAATAATTTAACAACTGTTACTAACAATAACAACAACAACAATACATTTTATTGACCGTCCATGAACAGGCTCAATCAAACCGAGCCTGCAACATTTTCAATAATGCCGTGTTGGGCTTTCTTTAGGGATTCTTATTTTCTCTATTTTGCCGTTCAATTAAGTTGTATAATTAAAGTGTTTACAATAAATTGTTTTGACTATGCAAGAATATATCGAAATGCAAAAACGATTTAACAAAATACGTTGCAAATTATACTTTCATTCAATAAACTAGAGTATTGCGCAAAGCAAAAGCTTCATAAATAAATTTTCAAAAGTTAAGCAGTGTATGCCTATCAGAAAATTGCATCAATTTAACAAACTTAAAATAATTGGTCTATTATAAAAAAATAAATACGATTAAATGAAACATTTCCAAAAATGTAAATAAATTTGACATATTAACACAAAATGGTATTCGTCCTCTATGTAATTTTTATCACATAATAGCCACAAACGCTGGTTTCTATCCACTCGATTTCTGCCATGGCGACTAACTTCAATATTCAGCTGATGAGCTTTTAAACTCTTTATATAAAAACAAAGCGCCGCTCAATGCAATTTGGTTACACCAAGATTGTTTAAAATGTCAAGAATCTGTTCTTTAAACAAGAGATGAAATGTTTTAAAATCGTAATGAAATGCTGTTTTCCCATCATCAGATATAAAGGCGCTTAATCCTATTTACCTGTACAAGTTCAAGAGTTTGAGCGATCGGTGTCTCAGCGATGCGAGGTAGAACAATATATATATCATCCGGGACTGGGTGATGAGTTTGAGAGAAGGTAGGTATTTGAGCGGTCCGAGTTCGAGCGGATGAAACCTAACTGTATTTCTTATTTTGTTTTTTATGTCATATAACGGAACAAAAACATATGATTTTTTTTAAAACGGAACGAGTGCGTTATTTCTCTGTCGTCCGTCTTGCATTAGAAATTATAAGTTTGAAATTAAACGTGTTTGTTATAGCTGTAGTCATTAACTCTTCGTCTGCATTTACATTGTTTTCATTGACATGTACATTGTCTACGCGTCCACTATATATAGGACATGGCATTATAAGTATGTCCGAGATTAAATACATTCATCTTGCATTGTTGGGTAAAGATAAGAAGACTTTTAAATGGTACACACGTACATTGCATTTACACCAATTAAAGATAAATGGAATTATTACCTAGTTTATTTTCAGCATATCTTTCTTAAGCTCAAAACTAAGCATATGGCTTACCAGACATGAGCTTATAATGCATTATGATAGAACTAGAAATTGAATACATACAAAAGAAATGATAATAATAAAACATTAATTTAATTTATATTCTTTTTGAATACTGGTTGGCATCAAAACAGAACTACATATATGTCATCAGATCTTTTACATCAGTACAGAGGACAAGTACAGAGAATAAATTTTTATTTATTTATTTATTTATTTATTTTGTTGTAACACTAAAGATAGTTATTACATTAGGGGTGCATAAAGTTTTCATTTTACAACGTTATAAATGCTTGATCTCCACACGTAACATAATCATTGCGATCATCGACTGGATAGTAAAATTAAAATAACAAAAATATTTTCCAATAATGCACACAGACGCTGACCAATTACTTTTCATGTATATAATAATCCAATTTAAATAAATATACAATCGTTGTCAACAAAAAGACTTAAAGTGTTCTTTGTCATTGGATAAAAGTCTGATACAGTTGCAGGGGCACAGCTTGGTCTGAAGTCGTCGGAAGGACAACATCTATAGTGGTTTTTTTTAGGACATGTAGGGGCGTACACCCCAATGATTGTTTCTTGCCCTGGATTTTCAGATGAGCATTTTGAAGTTTTTCTACGTTTAGTACAATAAATATGTGAAGATGATTTTAAGAACATTATCAAGGAGACAAATTATCATCTTTTTTCACTTTTTTGGAAAAAAGTATAGGCCCGTCCTGCACGGTCTATAGAAAGCTACTCACTGAGTTGTGTTGTATTTTTATCAACATTGAAAACAACTCTTTAAACAATGTGTCTTGTTACTTTTCAACAAAGTTAGGTTATATCTGCTTTCCATAGCTTTAATTGTGATCTTGTAATAACACTATCTATTCGAACCATCCGTGTTGAGTTACGAAAGGAATAAACATGTGCCCAGTTGTGGTTAGTGTATGAATATACGTTTTTAGTCTGAAGAGATTTTCTCTGAAGCCATAGAATGCATCCTCGTTTCACAATCTGTATGTAAGCATTAGAACACATGCTATCGAAATCTACACGTGTGTCAAAATTGTTCATGAAGTATTTTGTGTTTGCTACATATACAGCATTAATATGGTCCTCTCGTAGAGAACCTTTATAAAAATATGGAGAGTTACTTTCGAATTGAGTCTTTACTCTGTGCTCATCTCTATGCGTCAATTTATTATAACGTTTAAACATGATTGTTAAAAACATGGGCCCTGCTTTCCTTGACGGGCTAGGCCTTGTGGCAAATTTTGATAGAGAGAGTATTGCTACTTTCATGAACGGATGTTTTGGCCGGCACATCATAAAAGCATTGCTAAGTAAATACGACATTTTGTAAATGATTGCACTGTGCACGAATGGTTCAGGTGTAAGTATGCAAGAATATTTTATCGTCGCCCTGTCTAATGGCCGTAAACATTTCATATCTAGGTCGGCATAAACACCCCCGAATTCATAAAGCAACACATAACGTAAAGCATCAGCTTTGTTGATAACGAGCGGATAATTGTCCCAAGTTTCCAGCAACGATGGGTGTTTTGTTGCTATGAGCTGCCGAGCTGAAATGTTCGTCCAAAAATAATATGTCCAACTAGGATTGAAATGGAAGAATGAATTAACATTTGCTTTAAACATTTCTGGTAAATCATTTTTGCTTTCTATAGAAGATATGAAAATAAAATGAATTATATGAGGTATCCTATGGTAAGTTTCTGAATCGCCTGTTTGAAAGTCTTGGTCAACGTTTGGTTCAAACTCCGTGTCATAAATGCTGTATCTTATTCTATTCTTTTGATATCTGACCTCATTTACATCGTCGTGAGCGGTTGGTAATTCTTCTGCCTCCGATCCTGAAAGAAATGTGCACATCTTTATTTTCTCAACAACTGAAGACATATAACCTAAACATCAATACCAAAAAAGGGAAAATATATGTAAATCTTGAAACTACAAGTAAATGTTTTTATACAAATGAAAGAGGTTATCGAGTTGCATTCACCAAGTAGATGTGCACGGTAGTCCTGATGCGAAGGTGCCTGACTCACAAAGTTGAGTCCTCTTGGACCAGCACCATGGTTCCTCACGTGACACTAGTACTGGTATGTCCCAGGAGTGATTCAAAAAGAGCTACACGCTTTACTTACAATATACATATAACTTAAATTGATAATGTTTAAACCATTAACCTGACGAATTTCTACCATGGTTGTTCCCTGTTTTGAATTAAGAACAATAGAAATTTCGAAATATGAGCTAGCTCTTTTCTATTTAAAGTGAATTGGTCTGTAATAGAAGATTTGTAATAAAATGAATAATCACGTTGATAGTACATGTATTTAGTATACATTAGACATAACCACAAACCACGAAAACGTCATATATATACGGGAGTTTTTGGCAAGTGTCAGATACATGATACGATATTGCACATATCTATATAGCAGATAATAAAGTGTTCTAGAACAAAATATTGAATTTGTATTCATCGGATAAATGGTCATTCTAAATCACTTAGAACCTAATCATAAGCAGCAATATATGCAAGAAAATTCTAATGATACGTTTCTTTTGTTTTTAACAATATTAGAAATAATTATTACTTAATTAGTACTTATGGAAAATGAACCCATTGTTGACCTATACACTTTAAAAAGCATAATCGGGCTGACCCTGTTCTGGTCATGAAGGCTTATTACTGTATGTGGGTTGCAGCAGGTCAATGGTTAAGAAAGTAAAAAAACAACAGCACACCCTTTAGACAACGTGAAAAGTCCGTTAAATGTTATCTTACTTCAGTATCATGTTTGTTTGTCTTTGTTGTTGTTTTTCAGTTTGGGCTTTATGTCGCCACAACACAGTATAGGTCATATGGCGATATTTCAGCTTTATTGGTGGAGGAAGACCTCAGGTGCCCTTCTATGCATTTTGTCAGGCACAAACGGGCACCTGAGCAGAACCATCGACGTTCCGTAGACTGGAAAGCTTCCTCAAACTTAATGAAAGAATCCAAAGTCCCTGGCGAGATAATCATTGCTGGTGGTATTCTTGCGTATTGTTTATCAAGCTTTTTATCAGCAACCTAAACTCTGTGCGTATGACAAAATAAACATACAATACTAGAAGTTTAATGTACATCTGACATTCTAGCTATTGTCATTTGAAATGAACGTTCAATGGAGTGTAAAGATCAATATGAAATGAGGGCAATTACTTTTAGTCACCACACATCAAACATTATAGACTATTGAATAATTAATGGAACTTATATTGACTTACCGACAATTTATGAACATTGATTTACAAATATACAGTTTAAAATTGTATTCTAGTAAACAGAATGGTAAAAAAACATTATTTTGGAAAACTTTGAGAAACTTGTACGGCCGCTATATTCACATCATATTCGGCTTTTCTAATGCACAACTCACATTCCTGCATTACGGGATACACACGGTGCACTAGCTTGGGTTTTAAATTCCTAAACTATTAAAAAGATGCAATCGATTTGGTGGATCAAAGTTACTAATCTATCTTTTTTTTTTATCAATTCATACTATTTTATCATACGATACACATTTCATATCTTAAATCATCATTACACACGTCCAACTTGTATTTAAAATAATTCTAACACAACACATTGTAAATTTCGCAACAATTCATTGTTGAGGAAATGGGTTTAAAAGTACATTTATTGCACTTACTTAAATTATTATCATAACCGGCACATGTTTCCACAAACAACAAACAAACCGCATTTTAGAACATTGCATGTACATGTATATACATTTAGATTTTGGTCGTATCTTACCTGTAAGTCCAGATGTACTCATCAGTATGCATACTGACAACAACGCAGATGTCATTATAAGAAACAATACTGCATTTTTCCGTTTTATATACTTAAACACCCTCTGCAATATCTGTTCTGATGGACAGGGCCTCTGTAAACAAAAGCATAATAAATCAAAGTACTTAAAAGAACTGAAGGAAGGCGATCTGTTAAATTTGACAAAAATGTTTTATATAATTTCTTTTTTAAACATGTTTTTAATTTGTTTGCTAATTGTGGTTAACTTATATTACCTAAATGGCATGGAACTATACAGTTTTACATATGCATGGACATTGTAGTTCTTGGTTTTTTGGGCAATGTGTCTCATAGAACTTGTTGCTCAAGCCTTTTGTCTTTGTTGAATACGTTTTTATCTATTGATATTCCAATGCAATAACCCGTATATTTTACGAAATTTAATAGAACAGTTTTCGCTACTCTCTTTAACAAACAAAAAATCAGATTAGAATCAGAAGTTCTGTAATCTTCTTCTATTTAAATATGTAAATAGTACAATGTCTATGTGTCCGTTATATATGCATTATAAATCCAAATGAAATGTTAGGTACAAAAAAGTACTGAACAAAAGACAAACATGCTACGTTGTGACAAAATAGATGTTTTTAAGTTAATCACAAATTATTAAAATGGTTTTATTACCTGCACCATGATCGACCAATTTTTGCATTTATATCATAACATAAATTGCTATATTCGTCCATATAAAAATCGTCCGTTTCTCTATCAAATATTAACAACATACATATTGCCGGCCAGTTTCATTTAAATGGAAAGAGATAATCGATTGACATACCTGATAGCCTCTATACTTGTTGTTGAACAATTAAGCTTTCATACAGAGAGACCTGAATTGGCATGAAAGTAAACGTTATATAGAAGTGCGAACAAAGCAAAGTCAGTAGAAAGAGTTAAAATCTGTATTGGTATTATCGTTATCAAAAGAAACGTAAATACATGACGGGGTTATTTTCCTGAGCAATGGAGTCAGGGTTTTGTTGTTCCGATCCATAAGTCTGGTGATATAAATGAAAAAGGAAATTACCGTGGACTCACATTACTGAGTACATTTGGCAAATTGTTTAGTCGAATTTTGAACAACAGACTCGATAGTTGGGCTGAAAACTATTCTATATATGTTGAGGCTCAGGCAGGTTTTAGAAAAGGTATGGGTACAACTGACAACAGAATGTTATAAAGAAATTATCTCAATTTATTTACTATGCAACTTTAGCTTGAGAAACAACTGGTAGCTAATTCCAACTAATTTCAAACATTAATTATTATAGTCTTAATATTTATTTCATGACTGTTATATATGTAATATTACTTTTCTCGTATTTAGATGTTTTATGCATTTGTTAATATGTGTATATGTTTATATGTATGTATACACGCCATTATTGTTTATGGCAATAGACATTATGTTTGTGCCTTAATAAAATCTCTCTCTCTCTCTCTTGATAATGTTTTTGTTCTTAACGGGTTGATTAACCATTGTTTAAATAATAATGAATATTTGTACTGTGCATTTATAGATTTTCAAAAAGCTTTCGATTTTGTTGTTAGGGATATATTGTGTAGCAGGTTTACTAACCTTGCAAACCCAGGTTAATTATAAACTCTAAGGTTTCAATTCAAACAAAGATCATTCACAATTTAAATGACTTTTATTAAATTACATTTCTCAAATATAGTGATTCTAGTTTATAACATTTCAAAATCTACTACAATCTATAAGTTAGTCATGATTTACAGAGTTTAATATGAAAGCAAAGTTAAGTTATTTAAGTTTCTTATTTAACTAAATAGAAAAACACTCCTGAGAAAATATAATAAAAATAGATTACTTATTCAAAATGAAACAAAAAATAGCCCTACATTGGTAAAAATTGTGGCTTATCTCGTTGACTAGGTAAAAGCTACCTTGGCGTCCTTGAGGCAAAAGCAATTGAGAAGGTCAAAATCTTTCTTATATAGTCTGACAAAAAGTGAACTCACTAAAAATCTCATGCTAGAAAATAAAGGAAATAGGGGTAGTTTCAAATTAAACAATTACTTAAGAAAACATTATCAATAAATAAGAATAACCATAAAAGCGTAACATTAAATCATTAATCTTGAAATGACCAAAAATTTAAGAGGACCAACCTTACACTTGAAAAGTCAAACTTTTGCAATGTGATGTAAGTGGAAATATATTAAATGTTATAAAATCAATGTATAGCAATGTTAAGTCACAAATGAAATGTAATAATGAGTTAAGAGATGCGTTTTACTGTTATTTAGGCGTTCGCCAAGGTGAAAGTCTCTCACCTTTTCTTTTTAGCATGTATTTAAATGATTTGGAGCAAACTTTAAATGATAGAGGTATAGAAGGTTTGATGTTGGAATGATAAAGATAGGTCTGTTGTTATACGCTGATGATATAATTCTTTTTGCGAAAAGTGCAGAAGAATTGCAACATTCTCTGAATGTTTTTATTAGAATATTGTAATAGATGGAAATTAACAGTAAATACAAGAAAAACTAAAGTCATGGTGTTTAGAAAAGCAGGTATATTACCTCAGAATTTAAAGAATGACGCAGATAAAGAACCAAATGTAACTAACTGGGTGACTAATGTTAAAAGCTTACTAATAAAACTAGGATTTGAACATGTATGGTTAAACCAAGGTGTTGAAAATAAAGAACTATTTTTATTGATATTAAAACAAAGGATAAAAGATATATGGCTGATTGATTTTAATAACAGATAAGAAGACTCGACAAGAGCACTGTTTTTAGAACAATAGTTAGTTTTAATTTTAGCAAATATCTAGATGTTATAAATATCCATAAGTACAGAATAGCTTTAGCACGTTTACGCATGTCATCTCATAGATTATCTGAAGAATCTGGAAGGTGGAGAAAACCAGAATGTGTTCCTTTTAATGAACGAATTTGTCATATATGTAATACATTAGAAGATGAATACCATTTTGTACTTGAATGTAA